GGTCATATCATGAATCGTAGATTTATATTTAAATGAGCTACATGAATTTCAGTTCATTAGCATTTAAGGTTGAGCTTTTAAAGAAGATGATGATGAAAATTTCCATCATCATGTTGATTGAATCATTTGGTTCTCAAGTTTTTTTTCATTCTTCATTGTGTTTACCTGCAGATTTTCAATTCTTTTCCTCATTTTCAATCTCTCGTTCAATTTGACTTAAAGGCTAACCCATTTTAATTATTCTACTTAATTATCATGGAATAATCGAGTTTACAGAGTCATTTGAGAGAGACAATTACTGAACAATTTGCTAATGATTAAGATTAAAATTCAAAATTTCAAACAGAAAAAACTAATTAGCTTTGTTATTGAAAACTCGTTTTCTCATCATTCTCACACTAGATGTCTCTCTTTCTCTGTCTCTCTCTTTTACTCTTTCAATTGGTCAGTGTGAGTGGTCATTTAATGATCATTTAATTGTCAATGTGGTTCCATAAGATCAGGTTTAATTGTTTGATGAATATTAAATTATCCACTGGAGCAAAGAAACACAGACACAATTGTTTACTTTTGCTTGAGTTGTTTTTGTTTCTCTCGCAATTATAATTGTAATATTAAATTACCAAAGATTACAACTTAATCAGTTAATTAAGGAAACTCTTTTTTTCTGGTCTAAATTGTTTGTAGATCAAAAAACTAACTGGATTTAATTATAACGTTAAACTAATTTGCAAAGTAATAATCTGACAATTGATCAGCTGAATCTTAATAGACAATAAATCATTTTAAATAATCAAACTGATGATTTTCTTACCGATTTGGTTGTCAACAATTAGTAAGTTACTTAAGGATATTAAGAGATTTAATTATGAGAGATACTTTTAATATCCCTAACAATTAAGATAATTACTTTTTTATGTCAATAAGTGAAAGAAAATTTATAAGTCGAGTTTGTCTACATTGTATCTGTTTGATTTCGAAGATAATTTTTGATAAAATAATTCTAATTTGATGGTTATCAAGAATCCTACTCAACAATTAAGGATTAAAATAGTTAATCGACTCAGATAATGTTTGGAAATCTTAAAAGATCTGTTTGTGGCCTCATCGATTTCGAGGTTAAATTGGAAATTAGTTACAGAATAGTTCGAGAATCGGTGAAAAAGGACGAGGATTCATTCGTCGACTTTAAAAAGTTTTTATTCGAGAGTCGAATAATTCCCAAAAAATTGTTCGATTGACCGTGTCAACCGAATTTCTTTTCAAAAGTTAAATAAATCAAAAAGAATACAAAATCTCTTCAAGTTCACTAATCGCTCAATAGATAGAGCTCCAAACTTTGTCATCTTCGCCCCTTATTTACCCAATAGTTATTTTCCCCCATAAGAACCGAAGCTCAAGAGGGCAGCACAATGGCCACGGTTGGAATTTAAAACTAATCAAACAGCAATTAGTTGATTGATCAATGGCTACAATCAACTAAATTGGAGTAATTAGTCAAAGTAAAAAAAAAGATGAGCATTAGAACTTTTGATCGATGAATTTGACTGAGTCTTCCCATCGAATTCAACAGTTGATTGGAAGAAAAAAAAGTTCTAACAGAACTGAAATGATACAAAATGTTCATTGGAAAGACTTGATAATCGAATCGATTTTTTTATCGATATAAGTTCTAAAGAGAGAGAGAGCAAAATAGAAAGTGTAAACTTTTCTCATCCTCATCATCTTACTTGATGTGAATGGAAATTGAGCAATTGGATGAATTCTGGTCATAGGATTTTCCTCATCTCTCTTTACATTTGCTGACATGACGACGAGATATTATCATGATGAAGGATTGAAGGAAAGGAAAAATACAAAAGATGAAATCGAGATGAAGATACTGATGATGATTACGAAGAAAAGGAAATGAAATTATGTATTTTTATAAATATTATCTATAGAATAATAAATTACACCAGTTAATCAAATAACATGTTAAATTTTTCGCTTGAAATCGAGCGCACATGATGTGAAGTTGAGACAATATCTTTTCGAATCGATCGATAAATCATCAGAACTTTTCTTTTTCTTCCTTCTAAAAATAGTATCTCCACTATAATTAGATATTCTCAAAGATTTTATCTTGCATTTTCCTCATCTTCATGCAACCAGTTATTAAATTAATATTTTATAGAACCAAAATGTTCACAATCAATTGAAACTCAATTGTTGTGGAAATTAAGTTAATATCATGAGAGTTATTTTCATCTGATTTAGATGAACACTTTCAGATTCTGTTAAGCTAATAGGTGTTTAAGAACTTATCAGATATGAATTTTACTCAACTTTTTACAGAATTTTCAACTTATAAGATTCTATTGGTAATATCGATCAATATAAACTTACCTGGCCACAGGTAAACTTTCAAATATTAGATCAATTTGTCAGATCGAAGATAAAATTACTTTAAGAACGATGTTAAAATCATTTAGCTTGAGGTTGATTTATGATTAAATTTAGTAATTAGTTTCTGCTCATTTGTTAACAAACTTAAGTTGAAAATCAATTAATCTGAAAATCGATTAATTTGTTAATGATAATAAATTTTATTTCTTTCAGCGGGTAATAAAAACTTTTAAATTTCTCCTTTTTTATTTTTCTATTTTCTATTTTTCATATTTAGAACAATTTTATTCCGAACTGAACAATTAGTTACAATTTCTAGTAAATTAGGAAATATGGAAAACTGAATTTTAATTAGAGATCATTTGATTGGATTAGCATAATTGACGAAAGGGTTGACAGTTTATAAAACATAAATCGAAACATGGGAAGTTCTAGCAAAGTTTTTCGTCTCAAATCTGATGATTCTCATTGAATTTCCATTGATAACATGATTGAAATTTTCGACCCGACATTAGACATTAAATGAGAAACGTCTCAGAGGTTAAAGGTTAACCGAATGATCGATAGATGGAGCTCGTTACATTAACAGTTTTTCCTCTGGAAACTCTGGTTAATAAACATCAACCCACCTCGAAAATATCAAAGGAAGATGGATGAAGAGAACGAGTGAGAGAGCGAGAGAAGGAAAAGAGAAGTTTGTGTGAGTGAGAGAGAGAGAGAGAGAGAAAACTGAAATAAATCATTCAAGTTTCTTCTGCAATTAATTATTAAATTTGATGAATATTTTGTCACCAAAATGAAACTAATTAGTTTGGAACAGAAATGAAAACCAATTGAACTTGAAGAATGAAAAAGAAACAAAATGAGATGAGATGAGAAACTTTTAAATCAACTGAGTTTCTACCTGAACCTTTACCACCACCACGAAATCAATTCATCTCTTCATGTGATAACATTTCACCTGAAACTAGTCAATTGAAAGAGAACCTAAGATCAGTGTACTTAAAATGATCGGTTCGAAAGTCTTTCCATGATAATAATTTAATAATATCAAAAGTCGTTAAGAAACTCAAGCTTCATTCACTTTTTAATAATCAGCTTTCAGGGGGGTAACCATTCAACCTGAATTCAACAGTTGATAGCGAATAAAGTTTAAATTCAGTTCGATGAAAAACAAAAAAGAATAATAAAGAAAAGAGAGAGAAAAATGATTCCAATTGAACTTTTTTTTTGTTTTACCTCAAAATCACCTCACAAGTTTTCACCTTAATTTCAATCTTCGATTCAACTGAGCTTGAATTGTTACCTGTACCCAGCGAGTTTCCCCTTGAAGTGACTCAAGCTTGAGCTTGTTAACGACTTTTTTGATAAGCTTTTGACCTGAAGTTCAACAGTTTTAATAAAGTTAACATTCAGGTGGGTGGTAAAGACAAAAAAAGATCATCATTATTGTCTTGATCGCTATCAAGAGAAAGGGAGAGAGATAATAACGAGTGAGTTAGTGAGTGCGAAATAGAGGAAAGAGAGATGATGGTGATGATGATGAAGAAAAAAAGAAAATAAAATTAACGAGTCATCATTATTTTCATCATCATTAGGAATGGTTACTGATAAAATGACACAGAATAATTGAGTAACTTTGAAATGGATTTTCTTTTTTTTCTCTCTCATTCATCCCTCTCTCTCTCTCTCTCTCTCTCTCTCTCTCTCTCTCATTCTTAATCTTATTTTTTGCTCTTCTCTCTCTCTCTTTTCTTCCTCTTTCTCTCTTTTCCATTCGCTACATCATCATTATCATCATCTTCTCAAGAATGACATGGATGAGATGATATTTACTTTTTTTACGTGTTAATGAAGATTTTTACGTTTTCTTGATCACCTTCTAATGGTGATGACAATCCTCTCTTATTTTCTCTTCTTATTTCTTCCAAACTCATCTTCTTAAAACATCATCATCATCATCATCAGCTTCATAAAAGTTGACCTTAACTTTAACGAAAACGAAGAGAAAAAAAAGCTTGAGAAGAAGTAAAAAGAAAATGATTATAATGATGATGATGATGATGATGGTGAAAAAGATGATGGTGATGAGCATGATGACGACGACGATGATGGTGATGAGGACGAAGAGGTAAGCATTAGGTATCTAAGTAAATATTAATATTTAGCATTTTAGTTACTTTGTATTTGTTGTTTTCTTTTTCTACCTCATGTATTGATGTAAATTTTGTTTGTTACCTTGATGGTAAACCTGATGGGAGGAGATTGTCAGGTAAAATAGACACAATAATTCAATAAACTGTCAATGTAAATTATTTTTAGATTATTGTATAGGTAAGAAAAGGAAGAGAAAAAAATATGAATTCGAAATTTTCGTTAATATTTGTTCATTTCTAGAATTTGTGTATTGATCTAGTTTCTTATTTTTCTCTGTTGTTTTCCTTACTTTTTTCTCTCTCTCTTATTTCATGATCTAGATTTTTTCTTTGACTTTTTTGCATAAGAAAAATGATATCTATGAGAGAGAGAGAGAGAGAGAGAGAGAGAGAGAGAGAGAGAGAGAGAGAGAGAGAGAGAGAGAGAGAGAGAGAGAGAGAGAGAGAGAGAGAGAGAGAGAGAGAGAGAGAGTAAAGTAAATATCAAGTTCGGTCCAATTTTTTTCTTTGAGTTCCTAAGTTTCGGTTTATCCGATCGTTCTTACTAAAGGGGGTTTATTTGTCTGTGGAAACGAAAACATTGCATCTAAATTGAAGGGGAGGAGGAGGAAGGAGAGGAAAAGGTAGATTAGAATAAAAAAAGAACGAAATTTGTGTGTGTTGATAAATATATTGAAAGAAAAGTGAGTGAACGGAAAGAGGGAAAGACGAAGGTGAGAGGGAAGAGGTTTGTGTATATAAGTAAAAACTGAAATCGAGGGAAAAGTGGGAGTTAAGTAGATTTATGGATTTATGACGGAAAAAGGTAAGATGATTTCGATGATGATTGTGATGATGATCAAGATGATGATTGGGGGGAGAGAGAGTGGGAGTAAAGGTAGAAAAGGAAATAGAAGTGAGCAAGAGCAAAGGGAAAAGAAAGAGCTGAAAACTATTCTGAATAACTTATCAAAGGAAAGAGAGAGAGAGAGAGAAATTCAAGAGAGTTTTTCTTTTCTCTCTTTCTCCTCTTGTCGAAAATGATGAAAGAGAAATAAATAGATGAAAGAGGGGGGAGGTAACACAGATGATAGAGATATGAGTGAGCAAGCAGGAGGTAGTACATCAACTTGCAGTGAGAGAGAATTGAAGGAGATAGAATGAAATTTAGAGAGAAAGGTAAATGAAGGAGAAGAATAAGGAAAAGGAATAAAGAGATAAAAAGAGAGAGCAAGAGAGAGAACGAGTGAGAAAGTAAATGAGTGAGTTTATATTCTGTAAAATAAGATGATGATGATGATGAAGAAGAAGAAGAAGAAGAAGAAGAAAGGTGTATCCCTAAACAGTCTGCTCTGTAATTCATCACTGTCATCCCTCTTTCTGCTCTCTTTCGCATCATTCTTACCTCTCTCTCTCAACTCTCTCAACTTTCTGTTTATCTCTTTCTCTTTCTTTTTCTATCTTTCCTTCCTCTCTCTCTCTTTCTCTCTCATTGAGATATATATTCTGTTGTTGTTTGTTTTGCTTATTGTTGACGGCCAGAAAGTAAGGCCAAACTTGATCGGCTCACGGTTGGCTCACGGCTTATCACGTGTTTATGGTAATAGAGGATAGGAGGGTGGGGTCTACAATGTTGAGTGATTGTGGAGGACACAACATGAAAAGTGAGTGAGTGAGTGAGTCAGATACAAGGTAAGTTTTATTACTGAATAGTGAGAGAGAGTGAGAGAAGAAAAGAAGAGAGTGAGTGAGAGAGAAAAGGAGAGAGAGAGAGAGTAAGTTTACTAAAAATTATTTTCTTACCAATTGAGGGTTAAAATTAATGGCCATGAGTTCCTTCTTGATGAACTGTAACCCAGCGGCATATACGGCTGTTGCAGCCGCAGTGGCAAATCCTAGTAACTATTCATCAAATTATTACGATACATCTTCAGGATCGACCGTTGGAACACCAACCGGACATGGAAGTGGCAGTTCTAGTGCTTCAATCAGTTATCCATCGAGTTCTATCCTGGGAGTTCATGGTTCATCCAATGAGAATAATAATGGAAACTTAACCGATGATCAATTCGATCAGTTAACTGTTCAATCTCATCCACATCATTCGCATCTTCCTCCTCATCATCATCATCGTCCACCACCAACTCACCATTCTCACCATTCATCATCCTCATCTTCTCATCAAACTTCATCTCCAATTCCAACTTATCCTTCTCATCATCATCCCTCTCACCAGCATTTGATACAAAATTTTGGTCTCTCATCTCATCCTCATCATCAACAATATTATCAATCTCAGGGTGTCCCATTAGGTTCTAATGTTAATCCAAGTATCGTTCAATCAGCTGTTACCAATCATCCGGGAATAATTAATCCTCATGTTCATCCTCATCATCCATCAGTTAATCAATCTGATCTCTTTGCCCATCACAACTTTAACCATCATCACAACAGTTACCCTTCACCTTCACCAGGATTTTTAAAAAGATCACCTTCACCTTCATCCTCATCTCAACATCAACACCAACAACAACCATCACAACTTCAACCTCAACAACAATTAGATTCAAAAAGTAATTTAATAGACTGTAAATCTATTAATAGTGATCCACCTTCTCCACCGGACTGTGCAATCTCAGCCAACAGTGAAACCAATTCAGAGACTTCGGGATCAGGTCAACCTGTAATCTATCCTTGGATGAAAAAAGCGCATATCAATCAGGGGAAAGGTAAGATCAACATGATAAAAGTTCATCAAAAGTTCATTTAGAAATTCAATCCAAACTGATTTACCAAACTTTCATATTCTTATATTTCATCATCATCATTCATTTCGATATCTATTGAAGCCGGTTAGTAATATTAGATTAGAACTGTAATATTGCAATTAAAGTAAAAAAAAGTTTACCTAATCAACTAATCAAGTTGATATATCGCCTCACAATTAAATTGAGTAAAAGTTGCTAATTTGTTGATTTAAGTTGCCCCCAACTCTTAATTGTGGTTATATTAATACATAAAATCCTAATTAAACCACAACGCTAATCACTCTGTCAATCTAATCAACAGTTATCTCCATCGATAATCATTATTATCTTTATCATCATCTTAATTACAATCACTTGTATCACTGATTATCAGCAGTAATTATCTAGATTAGTGACAGATAATTAAAAAGTTGTTGAAACTAACTAGTTAGTTTTTTTACAGAGAAAAACAGAAAATGTTAAGATTATGATAAAAAGTTTTCCCATTGATTTGATTGCTTGGATTTATTTGAAATTAAGGTTAATTTTTGTACATTGATACGTTGGTTGATTGTTAATTGTTGACAATCAAGGGAGATTAATTATATAATGAGAGGACACGAGAAAATATCAACAAACAAAAAGGTATTCATCAAATTGGTTAAGCTTTTAACCTCAAACACAGCAAAAGATAATAAATCAAAGGGAAAAGAAAAGAAGATGATTAATTAATTAACAACAAACACAGAATATTAATAGTGATTAACTAACCACAACATTCAGCCAATGGTGAACTTTGTTTAATCATAATAATTAACAATTGAAACTCCTTCCAATCAACAATTAATGTTGATTGTTATCAAACTTTTCGGGCAGGACTCATGGTGATTATTGAATTTTTATTCATTCAGATTGTTTGAAAAACAATCAGTAATTTTTTCATGGGAAAACCGTTTACTGTTAATGATGTTTGGTAATAATTTATTGATTGTGATTAACTAAATCATTATTATCTTTGCTGATCGTGTCAACAGATTAAGGCCAATAAATTACAAAAGATTATCTTTATCGCCATTTATATTATTTACCAACCATGATTATCCTATTAACATTATTATCTCAATGATTATCATTCAATTGGCATTTAATCACTAATTTCAAATGTAATCTAATTAACAGCAATCAAGTAGCCAGTAAACTGAAACAATGTTAATCATTTTCTATTTAACAACAATTAACAGATAAGATTATTATCTGATTACAATTCTAGAACTTTTCATTGATCAATTTACTATCTAGAACTTATCATTTCGTAGTCAAGGTGAATGAATGGAAATATTGATGTTCCAAAGTGAATGTCATTTCTTGTTTGTTTTTTTATCAGTTCGAAGTGTTGGAAATGTTCAAAATGAACTTCGAGCTATAGAGAGAAAGAGAAGAAAACACTTAGAATATATCGAATTAAATGTCAATAAAAATCAATAAGAAAATTTCAAATTATTTCGAACTGTTTTTCGTGCTTTTCATTTTCGAAAAGTGAAAAGTTCTAATCAATATTAACAATATACATATGAGGGAATCGAGATCTCATTTAATGACAATATATTTGAATAGCTTTTCATACAATTAGTCAATGGGAAACTTTTTTTTTCTCAATTCAAGTTAACAGTTAGACTGTAACAATAATAATAATCAGTTAACCAACTGCTAATGGTTAACCATTGAAAGTTAAATCTATTATCTACTGACCAATGGATTCAATTCATTTTAACTGACCATTTATTGGCAGCATTTGATTTATGGCCAATAAAAGCGTCTGCATTAATGATTGGTTATTATTATTACTATTTGATTGGTTTTTCATTCTTGACTCATCGGCATAGGGAAAATATGAGATTCATGAAGCTCACATGAGCATTGAAACTGAACTTTGAAATGTGAATGAGTTTAATTTATTGGGCAACAATTAATTTGGAAACTAATTTGTTAATCAGATGGGAAAAAAACTACGTTGACATTATTTATATTTACTAAACAAAAATAGTTACAACAATGAGTTGTATTCATTTGAAAATGATGATGATCTAGGAAAGTAAGAAGATGATGAAGATAAAATTGATGTTGGTGTAGAGATGATGATGATGAGAAGGATAAGAGTGATGATGACTGTAAATTCATGGGCTCGTTAGGGAAAAGTAACAAATTTCTCTTCCATAATCTTTGATACTTTATCCTCATCTTTTCTTCATCGTAATGAATTGAGCCAAAACTATAAACGAAATCAAGTAAAAGTTAATCTTGACAGAGGAAAAATAATTTACAGGGATAAATAGGAAAAGGGAAGATTAATTTTCTTTGCATCAATAATCAACAAATAAACAACAGTAAATAATATGATGAATTTTTTTCTCTCTCTCTCTTTTCCTCCTTTTTATCCTCATCCTCATCTGCATCCTCGTCTTGCTTTATTTGCATCCGCATCCTCATAAATACGCACTCACACATATATAAACATGACTATATGACTGATCTTTTGTCTCTGTACCTTTAAAGAAGCGGCTCCAGGTACTAAGCGAACTCGACAAACTTATACCCGATATCAAACACTAGAACTCGAGAAGGAATTTCATTCCAATCGATATTTAACTCGAAGACGTCGAATTGAAATCGCTCATACCCTACATCTAACCGAACGTCAGATCAAAATTTGGTTCCAAAATCGTCGGATGAAGGCAAAAAAAGAGTCAAAAGCAACTGCAATCACTTTTAACTAAAGGTCTTGATTACAATTAAGATACTGCTAAAAGAATAAGAGAAAAAAAACCAAAATTCTATCATCAATTTCCTGCAAACAAACAACATCATCTGCACTTTGATAACCATCAACAACCCCAACACCTAAAGAAAAAACCAAAAAAACAACCACCGAGGAAGCGGAGGGAAAATACAAAAAACAACAAACACATAAACAACCCAATCTCCCACCTCCTCTCTCTCTCTCTCTCTCACCATCACCCATCACCTCGTACTCTCAACTCGCACCATTATCAGTCAATAAACACACTCCCAACACTCACTCTCACATTCACATAAAAATGATAATAAACAATCAACCACAACGTTAACCTTTTTATTTATATGATTATTATTATTGCTTATAACTTGACCTTTATTTTTTCATTATTGTCACTCGACAATAATATATAATAATAATACGAATATGATATAATATCCTATTGGAAAAAAATATAATAATAAAGAGAAACATGAAAAAGCTCATCATCTTATTGTCCTCATGTGATATTGTTAACTTATCATTGATACTTAATATCATGATTATTATTATTTTCACTTCAATTATATTGATTTAATCTTATAAACTTCAGTAAGTACCATGTAACGAGCTCATTACGATTGGATTTATATCTTTCCATGGGGTGGAATATAAATTTGTCATCAAGATTTGATTTTTCGAAAGTGAAAAACTTTTCAATTGGGAGAAAAAGTTTCGAATTGTTTTAAACTTTTCAAAAAGTTTTTGGAACATTTTATCTCACATTACAATCAAGGTATCTTGAAGAGAGAAAGAAAGAAAGAGAGATAGAGATAGAGAGAGAAAGAGAGGGAGGGTGGGAAAGTGAAGTAAAATGTTATGATGATAAGGGAGCGTTTAGGAGAGAGAGAGAGAGAAAGAGAGGGAGAGTAACTTTTTTCGAAAACACCATTTTCTTTACTAACCAATTGAGAGTAATATCAATGATATTAATGAACATGAATTCATTTTTGATGAATTGTAATCCAGCGGCTAATAATAGTTCTGGCGATGTGACCGCCGCTGTGAGTGGATATTCAAGTTATTATGATTCGCCGATCGGATCCTCCGTGGGAACATCAAGTGGCGGTGGCAGTTCTAGTGCTAATATCAGTTATTCATCCAACAGTGTTATCGGAATCCAAGGTTCATTAGATGATAATCGTAATGGCGATCTAATCAATGATCAATTAACTAATTCTCATCATTCATTTCATTTCAATTCTCATCCTCATCAGCAACATTATGCTTCCCAATGTGCTCTAATTAATACCAATGTTGATTCAGTTCAATCAGCTGTAACCAGTAATCCTGGAATAGTTAATCCTCATGCTCCATCAGTTAATCAATCTGATGAGTCTTTCTCTCATCACAACATTTACCTTTCACCATCACCCTCAGGATTTTCACAGAAATCATCTTCATCTTCATCTCAACAGATAAAACTTTCAATTCCAACAACAAACAGTGAAACCAATTCAGAGACCTCAGGATCAGGTCATCCTGTAATCTATCCTTGGATGAAAAAAGCACTAATCAATCAGGGTGAAGGTGAGTTTTTACTTTGACAACTTTTCTCAAGTACAATCAACATTGAATTAATCGATTAATTAACAAGTCTATTCGACTTTATCGTCGTTCACTTGGATAACCACATTAATAAATCGTCAAAATTGAAGAGAATCCTAATTCTGATTTCTTCTTTTTTTCTACTTTTCATCTTCATCATTTAATTCTTATCAAATTAATCTACTTGTTGTTCCAAAGAATCCGCTCCAGGTACTAAGCGAACTCGACAAACTTATACCCGATATCAAACACTAGAACTCGAGAAGGAATTTCATTCCAATCGATATTTAACTCGAAGACGTCGAATTGAAATCGCTCATACCTTACATCTAACCGAACGTCAGATCAAAATTTGGTTCCAAAATCGTCGGATGAAGACAAAGAAAGGACCTGAAATTCATAATTCGATATTCCAATAACAATTTCTCCTTCGAAATTTCCATCATAATTTATAAATATATTTCTAATTCGCATCTTCATCATCTTCTAATCCAAATGGTTCGCTCTCGATGATAAACCTCTCAATTTGATACGGAATATTAAACTTAGAATTCAAGTAAATATTATTGATAAAGAAAAGATTAATGTCAAATCGAATTTAATTGTCAAGGAGAAAGTTAATTCGATTAGAATTAATATTTTTTCCATCGAATAATGAAAAATTCGAAGTGGACAAAATTACTGTAAACTATCACCTCTTGAATCGTCTCTCTCTCCCTCTCTCACTGATCTTGAAAGAATATCAATCAATAAAAGATAGTTGATTTCTCTTAATCAGAATGATGAGAAAACGGTTACAATTTAATCTTCTATAATTCTAATCATTGATTATGTTAATTCTCACTGAGTAACAACTTTCTACATGATTCACTTCGTTTATCATGAAGGTTTTTTTACCTGTTTTCTTTTGTTTCGCCATCAAAATCTTCTCTCTCTCTCTCACTCTTCTCATCATCATTCAAATCATTCTTCCTCTTCTTCTCATCATCTTCGTGCATAAATGAGTTGGTTACCTGAGCCACGCGATCTCGTGACACAATCGTGTTCTTGTTACTTTCTTTTCACTTTCTCTCACTTTTTACTTTTTTTCTTATTCTTTTTTTTACATTTCTAATATTCTGATAAGTTGGATAACTTTTTATCTTAAACCAGGATAACTTTTCTCAGCCTTGTTTTCCCTTTACCTTTATCATTATCTTCATCACCATCTCTCCGCATCATCTCCAGACCATCAAAGATCAAGTATGAAAATAAGTTAATAGAAACGAGAAAAAAAATTGAAATGTTATATTAGTTTTCGAGCAGCAATTTTATGACATTTTGTTTGTTTGTCTCTCTCTCTCTCTCTTTATTAGTCATTATCATCTTCATCATATCTCATTCATTTTTCTTCTTTCTTCCTCTCTCACTCTCTCATTCTCTTACTATTATTTGCCTATTATTCCAATATAAAAGGATTTCTTTTTGATGGAAGAGGAAAAGACGACATAATACATGAGATCGACAGAGAAAAATTGGAAATGGGAGGCGTCAATTTTATTGGTTTTGGATCTTATTTGTTTGAAAGGTTGGGCATTCGTTGTTATGGTTACGCGTTTTGTGTGGAGAGGAAAAGGATACACAGAGAATCCATAGATATGGTAAAGAGAAAATAAGAGAGAGAAAGAAATGAACCAATTTTGGGGAAAGGTTATGATGATGATGGAGAAATGAAGAATGATGATGATGATGATTTAATGCCTGTCGAAAATGGAAATAGAAAGAGAATCGAAAATTGGATTTGTCCTTCTTTCTCTTTCTCTCTGTGTCTCTTTCTTTCGAGCAGAGAAAGAGAATGCAGGTTGAAACAATTTCTCCTCTAAAAAGGCGTTGTCTTTCCTTCTCTCTTTCTCTCTTTCTCTTTCTTTCTTTCTTTCTTTCTCTCTCTCTCTCTCTCTTTGCTTATTTTTCTACTCTCTTGATTTCTTTCCCCTTTTATCTTCCTTTTTTCTCTGTCTAAATAACTGTCGAACCACATTACCAGATTCTCTTCCCTCCCTAATCCCCATCTAAACTCGGGGGGCGAATCATCACCAGTCTCTCCCTCGGTTAACTTTCTCCTCCCCTTGGCTATCATCTTTCTCCTTCTATTGGCCAATGAATTCGTTTTCTATGGTGACGCCATCTGGTGATATTCCAATAAACTAATAAATTCCACAGAAAATCCCGGAGAATATCCCAAAGTGTGAAACTATTTTCTCATCAACATGATAATCTGAGCAAAATCTAAAAAGTAAAACAAAATTTCCAATTCTAGCAAGTGAAACTTTTACTGTCTCGAATAATTTAATTGCAATTTAATCACATTGATGAACAAATACAATTAAATGCAAAGAATAGAGAGAGAGAGAGAGAGAAGAAACTTTTTCTCTCTTAGTTCGAAATCATCGTAACCATAAAATCACAAACAATTAAGAAAAATAAAAGAGCCGCAACAATAAAACAACAGCGAAAAACTTTTACCTTTATGGTTGAGATAGAAAATCGAAAGCGATAAATGCAAACAACACGAATACAAGAAACGAAACTTTTAACAAGCAAACCCAACGAACTTGCAAATATAACCCAAAGGTACTGAGAGAGAACAAGGTAAAGAGAGCAGATGAATAACCTAATGAGGAAAGAAATTAACTTTTCGGCTTCAACCAGGGCAATAAAAGTGACAGAAGAAAAAAAGAAAATAAAGAAAAATAAACGATCGAAAAAAAATAAAAACAATTCGATAAACAGGTAAACAATATTCTTTACCTGGGACGCAAAACCACAAAGAGAAAAGAACGAGATAACCAATCGGAAAGACAGACAGACAGAGAAAGAGAAAGTACCAACAAGGAAAGGAAAAGAAAGTGAAAGGTAAGTAAGAGAAGAGAGAGAAGAGAGAAAGAGAGAAAGAGGCTTGGAAAAGGCTGAGACTCTCATGTTGAGGCTATAACGATAATATAAATGTCTTGAAAGGCCATAAAAATAAAAGGAGCAATAAAAGTGGCTGTTAATGGCCATTTAAAAAGTGATATAATCGATTTATGGTGTCAATAGAAATTATGGTTAAGCGGTAATTTATATTTACGCGTGCTACTAACCACCTTGTACTATTCATTCATTTAACTTATTCAATGAGCGAGTAAAAGTGAGTAACTTTCAAGTGAGTAAGTTAGTGAATGAATGAGAGAGAGAGAAAGTGAATGAAAATGATGATTATGATGATGTTTTTATGTGTTTTTTTTGCTTTCGCCGTGTTATTTATATGATTATTATTATTATTATTTTGGTGATGAGAGGTTGTTGTTGATTATTATTATTATTATGATTATTATTATATAAGAGCTCAACTTGTTTAACTAATGTTTTATTGTGCTAATAATAATACTACTTACAAGCTTAAACTATAACAATTTACTACACAATTACTACTGTTTGTAATTTGTACTTTTCTCTCAATCAAAACAAATAATAAAATAAAATAAAAAACAAATTAACTTAACTTCAAACATAATAGTAAATGATGAACACCATTAAATTGCTGTTATATTGTCATCTAATTATCTTTCAATCAATTTGATCAATGAAACAATTTGCACTTTTTTTTCAACGCCGATTCGATAATTGAACTTTTTCTTCCCGATTCTGGTCGATTTTTCCTATTCGCTCTCTCGATTTCTCTCTCTCTCTCTTATTCGATTTCTGTTTTTCTCTCAATTTCATGTTTGGGAATTTGTTTTTTTTTCTCTCTCCATTGAAAAAGAATAAAAAAACAAAACATTCTCTTCATCACCATGATGAAGATCATGGAAAATAATAGCGCAGATTCAATATAAAATATACAAAATTCTTGAATACGATGTGTATGGGCATCACGTGACTATGACGTAATGATAAATTCGGTCGGAAGCTGCGGCCTTTCTCTTTCTTTTTCTCTCTCTTTTCCTCTTTCTTCATCAATTCTACTTACTTTTCATCTCTTTCTATTTTCTACTTCTCTCTTATACACTTTACTGTCTTTCTCTGGTATCATCTCTTTCTTCCTCTCTCTCTTTAATCATCTTTCTCTTTCTATTTTGATGATGACTCGATGTATGTGAGACTTTCTCCCTCCTTCCATCTCCCTTTTCTCTCTCTCTCTCTCACTTAGACAATATCAAATCGAGTGAACTATTAGAAGACCTCAGATCGCCGTTAATACAACTCTGGAACACCAAATCTCAATATAAAATATATATAAGAGTCTTTTCTAGTCTCTTTCTTTTCTCCCTCTCTTTTTATCCTCCCTCCTTCCCTAGTCCCTGACTCTCTCTCTCTCTCTCTCTCTCCTTGAATTGCTCCCTCTTATAAGTTATATAACCAACGGCAACCTCGATATCTTGCCTTAGTATGATCACAGTGCTAAGAGCTTAACATTTGCTTAAGAAAAAAAAATCAACACTTTTAATGTAATAAAATAAGAAAATATCAAGGAGAATAAAAATATTGTGCAACTTGAAGCTTCCTCATCCTGCTCATCTCTTTCTTCATCTCAACATCATCTTCGCAATCATCCTAATCATCATCATTTCCATTCACACAAGTTCACCGAAACAAACACACACATAACATTCACCATCACTTTTTGTACCTTTACCTTGTGTTCATGTGAGGCCAAAATCAACAACAACAACAACAACAAAATCAACATTCACAGCATCATCTTCATCATAATCACCATCATTATCATCCAACATCAACAATATAAAAGAGCAACAACAGTTAATTTAATTACTTCTGTTCTCTTATTAATTATGATTATCATGTAGCTGCAATCATTTAATTTTCGTTCCCAACAAAAAAAACCAACACCGATACGAAATCATCATCATCAACCACATCATCTTCAACATCGTCTACATCATCAGTATCATCATAGCAACACAGCTGAGACCTTGATAGAAAAAAAAAGTTTTTTTCTTTTTCCATGATTCTTGAAAAGATATTTCAATCTTCCATCATTAGCAACACCAACACAATTCAATGGAATAATATTAATATTAATAATACATCGACAGTGTATATAACATATCGTCACAAATTATTGACAGTGTCTACTTTATCTTCATCATCTTCAATTTCATCATTACCATCATAATATCATCCGTTTTAACAACATCGTTATTTGCAACATCAATAGTCAATTAATTTAACGATTGTCAACATTATTTTATCTCTCACATTATTGTTTCCCTTTTTGTAGAAAACGAATCAGAAAAAATTATTATTATTATAAATATATTAAAGTAAAAAAAAGAAATAGATAGAAAAATATAATAATAATAATAATAATATAATCGATATGAGTTCGTATCAATTTGTAAATCCATTGACCTCTTGCTATGGTCAAACTCGAGCTGGACCTGATCCCGGTTCGGGTCCATGTGACTATTATACACCTCAAGCGTACAATAACTGTTATGGTGGAGCCAGTGGGGTTAATAATACACTAACGGGCCCATCACCAGGTGGACCAACTGGTTCATATTCAGCTTATTTGAGCCACAATGGTGGCGGTGGTGATCATCATTCACAGCATCCTAATTCACATACTCACCATAATGATAGAGACACATATTCACAGGCAGCCTCGGTTGCCGCTGCTGCAGCCGCTGCTGCTGCACGTTTAACCCACCATCCGGGAGCCGCTGTTGCCGCAGCGGCTGCGGGTTTGGGTAGTGTTTTAGGTCCTGCAGGTTCAACAGTAAACTCTGGTGTAACTGGAGGTGTACATTCAAATAACAGATCCTCAACACCCTCCAGTTGTAAGTATGGTCCAAATCCATTGGAATCAGCCTCATCACCTCAAGATCTCAGTGCAACCTCAATATCTGGTGCTGGTCACTCAAACGACTCTAAGCCAACATTAAGCGGTAACGGTTTGGTTGTTGGTTCCTCTGGAAGGTCCAACAATTCAAACAGTGGCGGTGTTCGTGCTGTAGATGATTTAACTGGTTCAGGTAATGGTTCATCAAATGGTTCCTCTGGTAATACCAATGGCGGTGATTCTGCCAATGGTAATAGTCTTGTGTCACCAACATCTAATCAGAACTCCGGTGCTAATGGAGGTAATAACACCGGAACCGGATCAAGTCAATCAGGCAGTGGCAATACCAAAAGTCAACCTCAAATTTATCCCTGGATGAGAAAAGTTCATGTTGGTCAAAGTAAGTAAACAATTAATTAATTGTTCAACTTTTCCTTCTTCCATCCTCTCTCTCTCTCTATTTGTACATCTAATTAATTAACACACAAAATTAATAATAAGTTTCAACAACAACAAAACACACACAAACATGATACTCATCATGAATTCTGATTAGAAAGGTGTGTTCAGGTTATGCTTGAGATTATTATTTCTCAGCGACACAAAAACCACTTTCTTGTTGATCACATGTTATAAAGATTCTGAATCTATTTTGAATGCTTAATATTTCACCCACGAAACGGGTCGGTCACTAATTCTCACTCATTCACTCACTCACTCTCTCTCTCTCTCTCATTAGAACTTTTTCTTGTCCAAAAAGAAGAAAAAATATTCTCTTTTTTCTCTTTTCATTCTTTTAGTTCGAAAATGATTGTTGATCTAAATCGACCTCTGAACTTGGCTACTCTCTTGTCTCTCTCTCTCTCTCTCTCTCTCTCTCTCTCTCTCTGTTTCTCTCTCGTACCTCCCCCAATAGAGGACGAAAAGCGTAGGCCTCTTTTCACCTATTTTAACAAGCAAAAGTAAAGAAAAGTTTTGAGTTGTGTCATAAATCAACTAGACAAAAGCAACTGCAATTTCTTTCACATTTTTCTTCATCATTCGCATCCTCATCATCTTATTATTCTTACTCTTCTTCATCCTTTCTCTTTTCCTCATTTCACTATCTTTCTCTCAATGTATCGACCATATCCACAATATGCTGTTTCTATCATCAGAAACACAATATATCATAATGAACATAGACAACATTTAACAACCACTAAGCACATAGAGAGAGAGAGAGAGAATGAGAGAGTCTCAACCATCACGAATTAAAGTATTTTTAATGTATGAAAAAAGACCAAATTATCCCTCATCTTCATCTTCATCTTCATCCTCCACCTCATCTCATCATCTCTTCTTATCATCATCACTTCTTTTGAATTACTGTTACAGATTAATTTCTTACAAGCCCCCAAAGTAAATTCAATTCAATGTAATTTACTGTTAACAAGGAAAAAAGAAACTCAAGAACGATCCAATTATCTTAATTAGATAATAGTATTAATAGTATTTAAAGAAAGCATCAGCAGGGGATTTTTATTATCACCCTTAACACCATAGACAGTAACTGAGAGTAAGAGTTAATTGTATTTAGATATTTATACTTTTACCATTGGCGACAATTTAATTACACTTTATACCAGAAATTATTCCAATTGAAACTCTTTTTTTTTATTGGTCTTCTTCGTGTCCACTCAACTTTACCTCGAATTTTGTCCATTCTGATTGATCGAAAAACTTTTCAATATCATTACACCTTTCATGACATTTTCACTTCTCTTTCTCATTTGTTTTCACTTTATTTATCTTTTTCTTTTCCTATTTTTATCATTTTCTGTTTCTGTTTCTCTCTGATATTTTGTTAGCATTTTTTTATCTTGTTTCTGCCTTTTTCATATGCCTCCCTCAACGATACATCCAGACACACACTCGCTCACTCGCACACAAGTAGGCAAAAAATTAACAGTTACTTTCATTATCATCATTTTATAGATACTTATCTCTGTATCCGTGTGTATGTGTGTATGCAAATTAATAAGATAAGAACTAGTGAAAAGTGAAAGAGTCACAATATTATCATGAGCATAAATTGAAGCCAAGAAATGACAAGATGCTAATATATATAAATATATATGGTGAATATTATATATGTTATATTGAAGATGTAGTGAATTTGAAGGGAAAGTTAATCAAAATTCAATTTCAGAAGAAGCAGAAAAGAAGACAGATTTTGCATATAATTAGTAATGCACTTGAAACATTATAATGGAAGCTGAGAATTGGTGATGGAGCAAAAGAACTGAGAGAGCAAAGAAAGACTTTGATATATTTTAATAATGTTCTAATAGTTGTGTGGATAAAAAGTAAGAGCAAATAAATGGACCAAATATTAGAAGGCAGAACATGAAAGATTGAGATGATGATGATGAGGGAAATTGAGAAAAAAGGAGGAGGAGAAAAAATGGAACTAAAACCAGGAAGAAGATGAAGAAGAAGAAGGAGATGATGATGATGATGATGATACAGATGACGGTGAATAAAATAGGATGCTGAGAGGCAAAAGAAACATACAAGGGAAAGAAAAGGTTGATGATGAGGAGAGAGAGAGAGTAGGAGAGGAAAGAAAGAGAAGAGACTGAAAGTGTGGTAAGATTATCAAGATTATCTATCGATTGATATGAAATTCACACATTATAATATTTTTACATCTTTACCGTTAATGAGAAATCAAAGTTATCATTGAGGCGGATATCATGTAGCTGTGCTGTTGATGTACAGATAATAATCAGGAAGAAGAAGATGATGATGACAATGAAGATAGAAAATAAAAATAGATGAACAATGAGAGAAAATGTAATTGATGGAAATTATCTGTTGATAGTTGTTTTTTTTTGTAGTTTTTTCTGTTCCAATGTTGTTTTTATTTCATGACTGAATTTATAGATCAATGAAGATCACAAGTTTGCATTTTCACTGTGCCAGAGGAAAAGAAGATGAAGAAGATGAAGATGATGATGATGCAGATGACGGTGAATCAAAAGACTGACAGACTAAAGAAATACACAAGAGAGAGAGAGAGAGAGAGAGAGAGAGAGAGAGAGAGAGAGAGAGAAAAGGATGATGATGGTGATGAAGAAAGAGAAGGAGGAGGAGGGTGAGAGTGAGGGTGGGGGAGAAAATGAAAAGGATGAAGATAAGCAAAAAACCATGTCATTGGTAACAAGGGTTTTCTCACTTTCTCTTTTCCTTTTTCTCTCTGATAAATATTGAATGTTATAGTTTATAAGCTTTTAAAAGGGAGTGTTCTTCATGTTGAATGAATGAATAACTGAGGGATAAGGTGAATAGTTTACGATCGAGGCGAGTGAAACTTTTATGTATCAAAATACATAATAGTTTATGTGTCTAGCCTTGAGCATCATCACTCATTTTATTTCATTTTTGCTTCTTCCTTCATCCTCATCATCATCTCTCTCTCTCTCTCTGCTTCCTCCCCCTCATTTTCTATCTTCTTATCTCTATCTTTCTCTTCTTGTTTATCATCATTATCATTATTTCATAAGCAATTTACTAATCTCAATAACTTGAGTCTTAACCAATCTTTCATTGATCATCTTTCATCATTTCTCATCTCCCCTCTCTCTCTCTCTCTCAATTTCTATGTTTCCCTTTTCCAATTAACCTTGATAATTTGATTTTCATTGAACAGTTACAATAATAATAAGATGATAATCTCGATTATATAATTTATATCTTATTCATATCAAACCAGATGACTACTGTTCTTGATATGAATGAATTAAATATGATAAAGAATCGACTGAATCGATTGACATGGATAAATATATAAATTATAATGTGTTTTTATCTCTCATGTTAAGTTTGCAGTTGAGAGTGAGTTAAGTTAAATGATGAGCTAGAAAAAGGGATTGATCATTTATATATACTGTTGATGTACAGATAATAATCAGGAAGATGATGATGACAATGAAGATAGAAAATAAAAATGTAATTGATGAAAATTATCTGTTGATAGTTGTTGTTATTTGTAAGTTCATTTTCTATTCCATGTTGTTTTTATTTCATGACTGAATATATAGATCAATGAAGATCACAAGTTTGCATTGACTGTGCCAAAGAGAGAGAGAGAGAGAGAGAGAGAGAGAGAGAGAGAGAGAGAGAAAGAGATGATAGGGATGATGAAGAGGAAAGAGAATTAAGTGAAAAAAGATGATGATGAAGATGAAGATGAAGAGCAGGAAAGAATGCGAGCGATGATGAGAAAAAGAAGAAGAAAAAAAGAGGAGGATGGCATCTAGAAAATGGAGAAATTCATCTTCTAAGTATTACATCAATGCTCTTTTCCAGTCTAACTTTATTCTCATTCCAAAAGGTTTGTATGAATACGAATTCAGGCTCACATATATATTTCTCTTTCTTTTGCTCTCTCTCTCTCATTCGCTCTTATATTCATCTTTCTTGTTATTTTTCTTCTTCATCTTTTTTTTTTCTTCTCTTCTTCACCATCATCTAGTCTCATCTTTTTTCCATCTAAAAGACTGTTCAGTCTTGCAAGTCATCTTCTTTTTCTTCTTCTCTCTTCTTTTCTCTTTTTTCTGCTGTTATCATGCATTCTTCCTCTTTTTCTTTCTCTCTTACATCTTCACCTTCATCTCCATCATTCAACCTCCTCCTCTATCTTTTTTCTCTCTCACTCACTATTCCTCTTGTTCCTCCTCATCATCTTCATCTTCATCGCCTTCAGACCAGGTCGAATGCTCCTTAGACTTCATCTCTTTCCGAACATCAAATCAACATCTTTCTTTTTTTTTCTTCATCTTTTTTCATTTTTTATTCCTCTTTTTTTCATCTTACTCTTCACTCTGTGTCTTGTTTTGTTTTGGCATCATTTTTGATTTCATCTTCATCTTCTTCTTCTCTATCATCATCATTTCATTTTCATCTTTTATTTCTCTCTCTCTCTCTCTCCTTTTACATCTTCTAAGCTCACTAAGATTACGCATTTCACTTGAATCTCTTCAAGATATTCTCCATCTTCCTCCATCTCTTCATCTTCTTCATCTTCTTCCTCTTCTTGTATCTTTTTTATTCTGTCGAAAATTTGAAAAAACAAAAAAGTTACAACTTTTGAATGTTTTCTTTTGCCAAAAAGTTTATAAAACACTTTGTCTCTTTCTTTTCTCTTTCTTTTCTCATCCTCATCCTCATCTTCTATCTTCTCCTCTATGCTACTCTTCATCTTCTAGTTGAATCTCTCTTGGGCTTTTCATCATTATCATCATCATCTAATTAACCTCTTAAAATTAGAGTAAAATTTTCTTTCTCTTTTCATCTTCTCTCCCTTTTTCCTCTATCTTTCATTTCTGGTCCAAGTCAACATGTTTATCCTCACACTTTGTCTTCATTCATTTACAGTTCATTATCATGAAAATCAGTATCAGTTCACCCAAAGGTTACACCGAATGAAATAAGCATCAGAAAAGAAAAAGAAAAAGTCAAATAAGATGAAGTGAGAATGGAAACAAACATTTTACCTCTCAAGCAAAAGGAAGAGAGAAAACTTTTAAAAAACAACTATATTCTATCTCTCTCCTGAAGAGACAAACTCGAAGCTCACATTTTACTTTATTTTTCTTCTTCTTCTGTCTGTTGATAACAAAAACAGCATCAGTATCATGAGAACATCTCTCAGGGTAAGAGTATCATCAACATCACTCGGATAAAAAAGTGTAATAACTTATGAAACTCTTGAAAGGTTTTTACAGATAACAAACGAACTGTTATTACACCAGGAAGATGAACAACTGAGCAAAAAGTAACAAGTATAAACCTGAAGTGAATTTCTGTAAAATTTGATAACAAAAAGTGAAGAGTGAAAAATATTTACTGAGAATTGATAATGTAAAGCAAAAGTTATTTGAGAACATGTTATATATGAGATAGAGAATGAGAGAAAATATAGAATTATTGAAGAGAGAAAGATGAAGATGAAGATGATAAGATGAAAAGTGATATTTGAAAAGGTGAACATTTTGTAATATTACCATGAGCGAATAACTTTTTCTTTATAATTACGATAATAATCAATATTTAGAGTGGAAAAAGTTAAATGCTGCAAACATGGGGACACTTTGAGGATCCAAACAGATTAGATTAGTGTCCATTTTTCCAAGCCAATTCTAAGTTGATTCCATTTAAGCAAATGGACTCAATATCTTTATCTTCATTCCCTTTTCTTATTCTCTCTCTTCGTACCTTCTCATTACTATCATCTTCCTTTTCATCCTTATCTTCTTCCTTTTTTGACTTTCTTTCTCTTATGCGCTTATTAGCATTGATACTTTGTTTTCGTCTCTTGGTTTCCAATTTCAAGCGAAATGTTAATATTCACATTTAATTGAAATCTTTCATTTTTGTAGCGAAGCAGAAAAAGACTCAACCCACAAGGGTTTTTTTCTTCCACTGGTTTTATGACTTTCTCTCCTCCTATTTCCTCTCTCTCGTTCTCTCTCCTTGTCCATCATCAGCTTCATCCTCATCATTTCTCTCTCTCTCACTCTTGTATCTTCTTCTTTACTTTTGCCGGTTTTTCTCTTTTAGCAGAAAAAGAAAGTGGAAACTTGCGTAGATGTTGACAGTTAAATTTACTCCTCAAAAATATTAACCATTATTCATAAATACGATATAGTGATGAGCATTTTTATTAACTTGTTACTAGAAATATGAAAAAATTGTTTCATTAGTGAGCATTGAATTATCTCAAAATATATCTCATTGGAATCATCGCCACCGGGGCAAACCAATACTCACCTCATAAGTATTTTCATTCATTTCCAATTTTAATCTTTCAAAATCATCTCTCTCTCTCTCTCTCTCACCATGAAAATGATAATATTGCCTTCTGATTACTTATCAATTGTTTCAATCAATTGCACTTACTGATAATTCAGCAACAAATGGACTCAGAATATGATGATATTAATATTACTACATGAGAATCATTTTTTTCCTCTTTTATTATCTTCATCTCTCTCAATGCCAATGTTTCAATCTGATAAAAATTAAGTGCAATTAATTAATTGGAGGAAAAAAAAGAGAAACTATCAACAAGAAGTAAATGTTTCCACTGGTGATGAAAATGAAAAGGTTTCAAATATTCAACACTATTTAATTCAGATAACATCATCTTCTCACTATTCAGTAAAAGTAAATATCATAATCATTATCATGATTGTTATCATGAGTTAATTTTATTTCTTTCCATTCAATTGAATGCATCAATAAACATTTATTCATTTACCATGTGATAGTTGTAATAATAATAATAATAATTTGCTTCCAAATTATAATCAAATTATTGATTAAATTAATCATAATTCTGTATTACCATTGTTTAGAAACTATCAGAGGTTGATGATGATAAAGAAGATAATGAAAAGATAAATGAATCATGTTGATAGTGTGTTCAGATGATGAAGATAAAGATAAATATGAAGATATTGAGGATGAGGATGAAGATAATTCGGTGAAATTGGAAGATGAGCAAGAAAAGAAAATGATGAATAAAAATATTGTTCCAATGTACGTTTCATGTGATTATGATGATAAATAAAAATCAACTTAATCTAAAGCTCCTCTTTGATAATCTATCCAGTCTATTACCTTTCAACATGCTTAAATCAAACGATATATCAAGCAAAATGCTTGACCATTTATATCCTCATCGCTTTTACGGCCAATGATGAATATGCTCGAGATTCATACTCATAACTCATTTTTTTTTCCTTTTATTTTTTTTTCTTCCTTTTTGCTCTACAACAACAATAACAGACGAAAAAATGATAAGAGAGAGAAAGAGAAAGAGAGGAAGAGGAAGATAATGTAAAAGATAGAGAACTCAGATCGTCAATTTTTTGCCAACCACTGAGATAGAAAGAGAGAGAGAGAAAGAGACTATTATCTTCCTCATCTTCCTCATCATCATCATTATAATAACATTACTCTGTCTTCATAGGCAATAAACGCATTACTGGAAAAACATTCATCTCTTTCTGCTGTTATCTTCCACCCTCTCTCTCTCTCTTTCTCTCTCCTCTTTCTACCTTTTTTCTCTCTCTCTCACCAATCTATAAATTTTATCTTCTTCTCGTCTTCTCTTTCCACTCTCTTCATTATCACTGTTTCCATATTCGAACCACGTTATTTATCTTTCAAAAATGACCCACAAACTCTTTAATCAAAAAGGGTTACTACCTCAATTATCATCATTCTCTCACCCTCATCACACGGAAGCTCCCTCACCATCAATCTGTAGTATTCTGATGATCATCATTTTCATCATGTTCACCTCTCATTCATTCAAAGTTTGATACATTTTCGATTCTTTTTTGATGAGTTCACATGAAAACTTATCTGAATCTCTTACACCCACTAACTCCCACCATTTTCCCCTGGTTCATGATGAAAAATCATATTGATTCAACTCCTTGTTATGACACTTAACTGAAATTAATTTATTTGTTAACTATTATCATTTATCTTATTAAACTTATCCGGTTTGTTCAGTTGGACAATCAGTTAACTATTAATAATCAACAACAACAACAACAACAACAGTTACAATACTAACGAAAGATACAATTTCTTGTCATTGATGAAAATGAAAAACTCACTAATCTCAAAGACTCCCTGAGACTTACAGGATATTGGCTATAGGATTAACAGTATCTTAGTTTAAATCAATCTAATGATGATATTGAACAAATTTTTTGATTAGCATTTCCCTTGTTATACATTAACAATTTACTGTTATCATTATTGTCATTATATTGTCATAACTATCATCATATCATAGTAAACATTATAATGGTTTCATCTTGTCTTTACCTTTGATAATAATCACCAACAGTTAACAAATTGTAATCACAATTGAAAATTACTTTTACCATGTAATCTCATTTGTATTCATGTTCATCCATGTTATTTGTATTAACCAAAGTTTATTTATTAATATTATTATTATTAATGATAATTATCATCATCATCATCATCATTATCATTACTGTTATTATTATGAACAGGTTAACAGTTCTTGAATATTAATGATTTAATGATTGACTCAATAGTTATTTTCATTATCGTTAATTTATTTTGCAAATCTCATTCATCGTAATTGTTTCAATTTAGTTGATTTTTTTTCTGTCTCTTTGTAACTATTTCTTGTTTGACTAATTTTGTTTTTCTCTCACTCCGAAAATCATGTTTCAGAAATGATCAATTTAAAAAGAGTTTTAAATTGTCACGTCAATCAATTTATTTTATTTTCTCATTAATTCTTTAGATTTAACAATTTGTTTTATCACATAAACTTAATATTGATTAGCGATTATATATCTTGTTGATATTAATCATTTTCTAGATTAATGTCAATCCGAGAAAATTACATCTTTAGTGGATTCTTGTTACTGCTTAGATTTGGGACTAAACATACGGTTCATTTTGTGTCCAACCCAAATATTAGAACCGAATTAGAACCAAAGTAGAAACCGGATTCAACTTCGAGACTTGGTTACCATTAGATTAGGTTAAGTTAGGTTAGGTTAGATCAAAAGAGGAGAAAAGTTTTCTCTCTCTTTATCTCTTTCCTTCTTTCTCTCTCTTTCTTTTTCCTCTTCTCTCTCACTCAAATTTTGGTTGAGTCTTTTTCATCTTTTCCTCTCTCTTTTTCATATTATTATTACTATCAAATTAAAGAGATTAATTAGGTTAACTTGTGATTGATCAATTAATTAATGGGTGGACAGTTACACTGTTAGATTTTAAAATTAGTTTCAAGAAATAAATAATCAAATGTTTGCGAAAAAGAGCTCACCAAGTTTGTTACTGGTTCTCAGGTTTGGAAGAGCCTGTTTACAGTTAGACTTTGGATGCATCCGCTAGATGGCGAAGCACAAGTGAATTTCTATTGGTCGGTTGATAATTTTGTTTCTTTGATTTTTGATTGAACAATCATGAGGCCGGAAAATTATTGATTTTGAATCAGAAAAAGATGAAAATTGAGAAAAGTTAATCACCTGAAGATTTTTCAGTCCAATAGCGTGAAATTAAAAAATTGTTCAAATTCATTTGGAATGAAAAAGTTTATGATGAGTTTTTTGTTTCCAAACTTATTATTACTTTTTTTTCTTTATTCTATTTGAGAAAATTATAAAACTCTTTTCATTGGAAACTAATTAATTATTTTTCTCTTTTTTTTCTTCTTTTTCTCAATTTAGGAGTTAATGCAATGGGAGAGACAAAAAGACAACGTACCTCGTACACCAGATATCAAACATTGGAACTGGAAAAAGAGTTTCATTATAATCGTTATTTAACTCGACGCCGTCGAATTGAAATCGCTCACTCACTTTGTTTGACCGAAAGGCAGATCAAAATTTGGTTTCAAAATCGACGAATGAAATGGAAAAAAGAGCATAAACATCAGAACATGGTTCCTCCCCAAATGTCTCAATTAACGTTAGGACCGGAATCACATCATCATCTTCATCATCTTCATCATCATGGAGAAACAAAAGCATAGATGATACAAATTAATTGATAATAATAATGATACATAATAATAAAAACTTATCTTATCACTTTCTCTCTCTCTCTCTCTCTCCTTCTCATCCCTTTCTCTTTCACTCAAGTATCGTCTCTTACTCCTCATCATCATATATTCAACTCATTCTCTCTCACTCTCTCGATTACTTTTCTTCATCTCATTGAAACATCATGAAATATGATGATTGCTACAATATGTTTCTCTCTCTCTCTCTCTCTCTCTCTCTCTCTCTCTCTCTCTCTCTCTCTCTCTCTCTCTTCTTTCTCTCTCTCAAGTCATCAAATCAACATCATTTCAATTGAAATAAATCAAATTTACTCAATATGTATTATCTGTATCTGTTATCTCTGAGTTATTTTTGATTCCTCCAATGTCTCAGTCTCTAGTCTCTCTCTCTCTCTCTCTGTCTCTCTCTCTCTATTTCAATATATAACCTTTGCCACTTTTTTTAAATTATTATCATTATTTTTTGTTTATAATAATTACCATGTGTTTCATAGATTGACAAAAACAGCAAACAAACAAAAAAATAAATCAACACCAACACACAAACAAAAGACATAAACAAAACCCGAGGCGACTTGAAGTTTGAATTAAGAAAAATTCTGTAATATTTAACTTATATTATTCATTTTCATGATAATCACTATTTACATAAATTCATCTTTGTTCAATTGTTTAAATATAATAATAATCTTGAAGAAAAACAAAACAAAAACAAGCCATTTGATAAACAAATGATTCTCTCCGAAAATGAAAAGAAAAATAATTTTATTCGTAACTCGGAATCTCGGACTTTCACTATTGAAGATGATTAATTAATCTATTGATTAAATTGTTAATTTCTTTTGTATTAATTCAGCTTTTTTTTTCTCTTCTTGTTTTCCAAAAATATTCAAGTAGAATGACAAATCAGAGGGAGGCAAACCCACCCATGGAGGAAGAACCCAGTGGATTGATTATGCTTAAGGATCAATGATTTCGAACCAGAACATTTTTGAATGTCCATTTAAGGTCCAGTTTACACACACAACTTGGCGATTTTTACCTTTCCAGAGGTTCCACTTGTTTACAAACATTTTTTTCTCAACAACACCTTAGGGACTATGAAAAGAATCACCTACGACACTTGTAACATGTTAACTTTTCACGCTAATTTGGGCTACTGTTCACCAAGAGAAAGAAAGAAAAACAATTCTCCCAACCCTTTTTTTCTCGTCCCGATGGTAAATTTCAATGGAAAACTTTCTCTCTCTGTAGAATATAATATTTTCTCTCTCTCTCTCTCTCTCTCTCTCTCTCTCTCTGATCAGCTTAAGCAAATAAGCGTGAAAAAGTTTAATTAGAAAAGAGTCACAGAAGACAAGCTACAGAATCTCAATTAATCTTCATTATCACGGAATCAACCATTTCGTTTATCCAAAGATCTGTATCAATATTGTCAGGGAAGAAAAATATAAATACATTTTACCAGGTAGATTATTGAATATTATTGTTAAAAAGGTAAAATGTGGCATTTGATCATTAATCAGGTTTCACTTTTTCTCTCTTGACATGTTACCTGGATATTGACTTTATGGGTGACCTGAAATGAGTGACATGTTTTTACCACGTTAGAGTTTAATTTTCCACCATGTTTACCTCACATGGAATCAGAAATCTTTCAACATCATCATTCAAACTCGATGTACTATCAATAAGTAAGAAACAGGAAAAAAAAATAGAAAACATTACAACTCAATTCTAACCAATTCCAAGATCAAGATCATTATCCAATCTTACTAAACGACTTCAATAGGTGTCACTAGTTGATACTAATTCTCATCTTGATTGTTGAAGAAGAAGAAGAAAAAAAATAATATCAATTTGATTCGATGTCACAGTTTCACATGTTCACAACTGACCAACACTTTTAGGAGAGGTCAAGCTTTGTACTGACCTATGTACCTCTTTGAATATGAGGTCGGCTTATCATTCATATTTTAAGTGGACCAGAAAATATGAACATGGTGATGAAAGGAGTCAATCATATTCAATCATATTCAATCATACTTACAATACTTATCTTGACATGTATTGATCTTGACACGAGAACGATAATTGATCATTTGCCCTGGAGAGTGAGAGAGGGAGTGAGATTACTGTTTTGTTTGTGAACAAGATGATGACCAATTATGATGTTTAAAAAGTCAAAATTATGATTGATGGGAAAATTGATTGACCAGTAGAAAATGTAAGATGACCTTAGAAAAATTAACCTTAAGGAAACAAAAATGAATCTGTCATAACTGTTGACGCCCGTCAAGATTATCATAATCTCACTGGTTATTAATTGGATTATCAGTTATCCAACGGTGAACAGATTACATAATTATATTTTCTGCTTCAATTTAATCTTAATCTACTTTAACATGTTATCTTAATGGTTTTAACATTTTATCAAATGAAAACTTGTCAAGTTTAAGGTCTTCATTTAATCATTTGGACATGATGATAAATGTCAACAAATGTTACCTTCGACCTCTAATTGTTATTGTTTTCATTTCCTTAAGGTAAGATTATTTTTCGCAATCTAATCAGTTTGGGGACAATTAAATGAAAATGGTTGACAATTTAGTTTGATCAATTTTTCACATTTCAATGTCTTTCGATTAACTTTAATTGTTGTCTAATTGTGATCCGGTTTTCGGTGATATTTTTGGTAGGTTAGCCGATTTGCCTTCAATCAACTGGCTGAGACTTTGGTTGATTTTGTCGTGTTGGTTGCGACCAATGGTTGGTTGATCTTAGAGAGAAAGAGAGTGAGAATGGAAGAGAATAGTGAGCAGGGAGCTGGTGGAGAAAAGATGATAAGAAAGGGAGAGGGAGAGCGAAAGAAGAAAAATTTGTTAACTCAGTCGATTTCGAAGCAACTTTAAGCTGATAAATAATCGACTGACAAATCGACTGATCCGATTAACGTTGTTTCTTTGTTTTTTTTTTGTTGTTGATTAACTTTCCAATTTAGATGAGCAATTATTAAATTAATCAGCAAATATTTTTGCTGATTAGATAATAATCAAATTTATTGTGCAATTTTCTGGTTTGATTGTGTGATTAGACCAAAATCTGGTTGAATTAGGTTAATATGAGATAATCTAAATTGTTGGTTGATGATTAAAGTTAATCATTTGAGATGAGCTGATGCAATTGACACAATTAACCCTCAAGTTTAACTGTAATACGAGAAAGAAGATGGAGCTTCCATCCATTTAAAAGTTCACCTTATTGGCGTTGATTTTGAGAGAAAGAGGAAATTATAGAAGAAAGAGAAAAAGTAAGATAGAAAAGAGAAGAAAGAGAAAAAGAAAGAGAAGAAAAATTATTTATGAGAATATAGGCAGAAATTCTGAGTGAGAATATCGGAAGAATCCAGTTTACTGAGTCACCTCCATGTTAAGTAAAAGTGAGAAAATATGAAAGAGAGAAGAAAAAAGTACGAAACTAAAAGAGAAGGAAAAAAGAAAGAGAGAGAAAAAAGAGAGAGCGAAAAAAGAAAGAAAGCTGAGAGTGGAAAAGAAGAGGAGAGAGAGAGAAAATATTAGAGAGAGAGAGAGAGAGAGAAAGTGAGTGAGAGAAGAGAAAAAAAAATTGTGAGAGTGAGATTGAGTCGTAAAGTATATGAAGTCCATTTACTGACGCAAGAGAAGTGGAAGAAGTATCAATGTAATTGTTGAGTTTTAATTAACGACTTGAATTGGAAAACAATTAACCAACAATCAACGAATATTGTTCATCGTAATTCGCAATTAAATCAGTGTTTTTTCTTGTATTTATCATCGATTGTCTCTCTACATTATCATGAATCATTCTCACTGTTTCTCTCTCTCACTTTGTCGATATAATTTTTTTTCTGGTGAAAAGTGATTCTTGTTAATTGAGTTAATTGAGTTTCATATGTAAATGCATGATTGTGATGGTCAAGACAGTTTGATTGTCCATTGAATTTTCATTTCCATTGAAAACAAAATTCTATTCATTTAATTGTTTCACAATCTTAATTCTCCATCATCTTCACCAACATGAAATCATCTTCTTCATCATCTTCTTCCTCTCTCATTGTCATGCGCATCTTTTTAACCTCATCGACATTTTCACCTTCCCAAATCAATCTCAATGTTCATCATCATCATCACCATTTCCATCCCGAATAATCAACTGTAATTACACCAACATCTTAAATTGTAATTAGTACAACTTGTGATTCTTTTGATGAACCATTTTCATTTTCTCTCTATTACCAAATAAGTGATAATTTTTGTGCAAAACGGATAACAAAACCATCACCAACTTTCAGCATCTCTTTTAGCATCCTCATCATCTCGATCCACCACCAGATCTTTCAGATGAAAATGGTAAGAATGTTCAACTTTTTCTATTCTCTTTTTCTCTTGCCTCGACTAAGCTTGAAATTTAGCTGATTGATTCATCAAAATGAATTGATTATCGCCTTTGAACAGCAAAGGAAAAACAAATAAACGCTTCGAATGAGTGAGAATCAGTTTATAGGCAAAACTAAACCCAAAACCCAAAATGATTTTATGTATTTCTGCCTGTGCACTCAAGCTAATCGATTAGTTTGTTTACTCTATACCAAATTATTGAACATTCTGAGTACTTGGAACTGTCCCTGATTCACCAGGTACTTTCTCTCTCTCTCTCCCTGATCATTTGTCCATTTCTATGAGATTTATCGATAATAGTTGAGGTGAACACCCAATTGAAATGAAAGATATTCAATTGTGTCTTCTTTTGACTTGATCATCTTTGTTATGCTTCACTCGTTTACTTTCAATTGATTCAATTGACTCATGATGATTATCCATATGATATGCATGAGATTTTCATGGAACACTTGGTTTATTGAATATTTAACTATCTCCAAGTAAATATTATTAAATGAGATTCATTTGAATAGATAACTGATTGATCATTTGATAATAATGGTCAATTATTTTACTATTTCAGCTCTCAGATTTTCAGGTAACAAGTTTTTACCTTGTAAATGTTAATTCTGGAAAAGTAAGATGATATTCATGAGATTTTTTTTTTCGTTTCTTACCTGAAACCTTGAGGTTAATATAATGATAAGGTTTTTGAGTGGAAATATTTTTCTGCCTCGCAACAAATGAACTTAATTATGATAATAACTTCATTTCTTGTTCATGTAATTTAGATGAATAACCTCAGATTTTCTTCTAATTGGCTGTGAGAGAGAAATGAAAAAAAGAAAAAGAGGTTCCTCTATGTAAGCTCAGCTTCTCGACTCCACCTTCCATGTAAATACCCTCCGATAATTAGACTTAACAAGGATGGAAAAGAGAAAACGTTTTGTTTTTTTTCCTTTCTCTCTCTCTCTCTCTCTCTTCGTCCTGGGCTTTAGCTACTTTGAAAGTCCATTGGAATGATAATGATACTTGAGAAGAAGGACAAAGCTGGACACAAGAAGCTTCTATCAACTATGAAGAGGAAAAAGGAGAAAAAAGAGAGAAAGAGAGAAATAGGATCGATGCTAATAAAATGAAAGAAAAGAAAGGAAATATAAGAGAGAGAAAGAGAGAGAGAGAAGAGATGGAGTAAAAAGGAATAAAATAAAAAGGAGATTATTGATTTATTTTCTATTCGATCTCAATTGAAGACTTTGAATGAGGAGAAAACAGAGATTCAAGTTTGAGAAAGAAGAGAACGAAAAAGATAGAATTTGCTTCTCTTCTTAACAACCACTCCTTAAAAAGTAAACATGGCTACCTTAAGATGAGGAGGTGACGTTTTTCATCTTGAAGAGAGGATGAAGATAACCAATCATGTGGGGAGAAGAGAGAGAGAGAGAGTAAAATTACTCAAGAAAATTAAATTGTATGAAAATTAGAAAAGGTAGATTGCTGGAAGATAATTCAGTGTAATTAAGATTATGATTATGTTGATGAGAGAAAAGTGAGTTTGAGATGAAAGAATTGATTTAACATTGGAAACGTTTTCCATCTCCTTCTTGTCTTAATATTCTGAGCAAATGGAAGAAGAAAAAAAAGAATAAAAGAAAGAGAGAATTTTTTCCTCTTTCTTCATCATCATTATCATCTTGATTCTCTGGTTTTTTCTTTTGTTTATAGAAAGATGAGCTAATTATGATTTCATCTTCATCTTCATCATTAACATTATCATTAAACAGGTTCTTCTTTAGCTTCCAAAAAGTAATTTAATTTTTCTTGTTTATTCATTCAATCGATGAACATGATGAACATGAGAAAGAAGAGAGAGAGAGAGAGAGAGAGAGATGCTAATGAGAACGGAGGTCATGGAGAAATTGATTTTCTTCCTCTGCTCGATTCGAGCTGAAATTAACTCGATACCTGGAGAAAAGACAAAGGTCACATCTGAGTGATTCTCATGTAATAACATTTGAATATGTTGATTATAGTTGAATAATTATCTCGATTATAGGTTCGGGTTTTTGATCTTCCAAAGACAAGATCATTTTTCATCTTTTACATTAAGATAGAAAGAGAATGAAAATCAAGCCAAAGGCGAAATTGTTTCCTTTTGCTTTTCTTGTATTCGATGGCTCATGTCGAGTAGAAACAAAATAGTTGAGTTTACATGGTTATTAGTTTCATTCATTTTCGCTGACATTCAAAAAGAAGAGAAGAAAAAATAAGCTAAGTAAATTCTCTCATCATCATTATCATCATGTTGATGCTCTTTAATGACTCAATCATAGTTTTGGTACTTTTTGGCTCTCGTAACTAAACGAATTACATTTAGGTAAAAGAGCAGAAGTCAAGAGGCGAAGTGACCTCAAAGTTTTACGCCTTTAGAGAGGAAAGAGCATGTTACCAAAGAGAAGATAGAGGAAGATGAAGAGAGAGAGAGAGAGAGAGAGGAAGAAAAGCTGAGGAACGAAAAAGATGAGGATGAATGATAAGATGAAGAGAATAAGAAATTTAAAAATATTCTTTTCTTTTGGACATGGAAACGACCTATAAATCGATAACTTTTTCCTTCTTCTCGTAGATGTCACTAGCTAATAACTAGTTCTATTTAGAATTATTGAGAATTGATTTGCTTTATTTTCTGATTCTTTGGAACTATGAAATTATTAAATTATTCGTTCTCGTTGTTTATAAGTTTTATTGTCCTAACGAAATTAAGATTTAATATTCAAAGATGTAAATATTAGGGTTGAGAGATTATGCAAATTAATGATCAAGATTAATTTTTGAGAGATTCAAAGTTCTTGTTTGGTTTTCTATTTATTCAATTTTTCTTATAACAGTTTCAAAATTTTCGGCAAAACTTTTGATAAAAAGTGAGCGCCATCTATTGGCTATTTGATTCTCTTTTTCATTCATACGAGTTGAACGATTTTAGATTTTAAACATCGATGGTGAAGTAAGAGTTTCAAGGAAAATCGATTTAAAAGCGAAAGAGAAAAAGACACAGAGGAGACAGAGAAGATCGAATGAGGAAAAACTCTAAGAGAAAGGGAAAAGAATTCACTCTTGATTTAAAGAGGAAAATCAATCAGATGATCAGGCCTGGAAATCGATGGTTTTATATAATCGATCTCCATCTTTTCTCATGATTTAGTAGATCAATTGACACAATTCATAGAAGTTGAAAGTTCACCTAATCAATTAGAGTTTTATTCGAATCGTCTCTCTATCTCTCTCTCTCATTTATTCATTCTGATGACTAATGATCACGAACATCTCAATAAGAGAAAGACTTAAGTTAGTTTTTCAATTTTCGATTTCTAATGAGATAAGTGAAAGAACTTACAAAATTAACGAATTTTAATCGACATTAGTTAATCATCAAGTCTTTGAGAATGAATCTGTTTATACTTAGGGTTCTTAGAACATTTTATCGAGTGCAACTTCCGGTGCATTAGACAATCAAGTTTCTGGATGTAACAATTAATCGTTTTTAGCTTATAATTGATTGATTGTTGGTTGATGAGTGATTGAAAATTTGACGTTCTCGCCGATGAATTAATTTTGTTTAATTAACTAGATTTTCTCATTCGAGTGAAAAAAATCAGGTTCTTAATAATGAAAAGTCACTTGTGATTAACTAAACACTGGCTTTGCAATAGAATCAGTAGTCGATAGATGTCACTACTCGAGCCTTTTCATGTTTCGATTTATTTTATTGATCAGTCGCATCGATTTTTTAGCGAAAAGAATTGATCGATATCAATCGATTCGAAGTAAGAAATTGCAACTGACATCGAATCGACAGATCGCACAAAAGATCGAAAGTTTCGATTCTTATCATCGATTTTTTCGAATCGAGATTCTCGATTACTTTTAATTCTACCATTTGGTAAATGAATTCATTGATTTTATTAGATTGTCACTCGAAAAATTTGCAATCAAATTGATATAAAAGTGAATTATGATTAGTTGATTGTTTGGAGCTTATGTTCATCTATTGCTCAAAGTGATTAAAGACTTGTTGTAATTGTTAATTGATGAACGAGTTTCCTTGTTCATTATTTAAGTTGAGTTAATTGTTATTTGAATGGATTGTTTCATCAATTTTTAATTGTGAAATGATCAAAGTTGAAAACGAATTAAGAAAAATGAAATTTCCACAGTTTAAAGGTTAAGGTTATTGAAGATAATGATGATTATGATTAAGATTACAATCCAACAATTTTAATTGTTGATGTTATTAACTTTTTCTTAAATACTTTTCTCATAATCTTTGATTCCTTGATTAGCCAATTTAACCTTTCACCTTGACTACAAAGATTCCAATATAATGATGATAACGTTGGTATTTTTTGTTCTCTTCGTCTCAAATCCTTTTCTTCATTAACTTGTTTCGATCTGTTCGAGAATTCAAACCAATAGATGTCACTCAAGTTCCCGATAGAAAAACTTTTCTCATTTCAGTGAAACTTTGGTTTCATCGAAAATCCCCCAGATGGCGACTCAGTCACCATTGTTTCGAAATCGAAAGAAAAACAAAACGATTTCAACTCAAATTTTCATTTTCTAAACAATTATAATTAATTTTTAATTAGTAATCAAATGTTTAATCTACTTCTTGCAATAATCTTCTATTCTAAACTCGGAGTGGTTATTTTTTCAAGTTCCCTTTCAATGATAATAAAACTTTTTCGACTTCGTTAATAACTAATATTGAATATCTTTTTTGTTCCAAGTTTTTATTGTGAAAATGAATCAACTATTGCTCTACATTCACCCTGTAGATCCGAATTTGTCAAAGAATTGATTTACCACGAATTCGGCTCTAGAGAGGTTTGTGTGGTGCATATCATGCATCGTCTTCATCTTCAATATCATCAAACTTTTTTCTCTAACCAAATAGTCTATACATCAACCACGCCTTTGCTTTTTTCTTCCATTTTTTTCTCTCTCTCTCTTTCCTTTCGACAATTCTCTTACTTTTCCTCTTTCTCCATCATCATCATCATCATCATAATCTTTCCTCATCCTATTAATATATGAGCCTCTCAATCATTTTTGGTCAGCTTTTTGGTTATGCTATTTATTTTTACCAACTCTCTCACTCTCTCTCTCTCTCTTTCTAACTTAAACAACTCAATTGGCTCATTCATCCTAATCATCATAATCATCAACATAATCTTGAGCTCTTGGGCTACACGGTGTAAAAAATTATGTCTCTCTGACAATAACTTTGATAAATATATATACATCTTAATTAGCAACTTAATCAATCAAGAAAATAACAACAACCTAAGGTGATTTAACAATAACAATTTGATGAGGTTTAATCATCTGATTATTTGTATTATTAGACATTTGATCTCGTCTCCTGGTTCGTCATTATCATCATCTTTTCCTCTCCCTGGTTTTACTGGCATGGAATAAGTGACACGCTGTATGAAAGAGGCTAATATAAACATTTATGCGAATAGAATTGGGTGGAGTAGAGCAGAAAAAAGAAGAAGAAGATGATGATGATAATGAGAATGATGAATATGATGATAGTAGAAAAAAAAGAAGAGAGAAAATCAGGTATCAGTTTGATGAAGAAGAAGAAGAAAAATTTGAGTGAAAAAAGAATAAGACTTTGTATAGATCCATCATTTCTCAACCTATACTCACTCACTCACTCTCTCTCTCTCCTTTCATGATGATGATGATCATTATTCAGATCGATCTTGATCGACGAAAACGATGAAATTATTCCAGGTCATCTTGTCCACTATTTTCATCAACCAACAAACGGTAATCCAAAGTGTTTCAAATGTTCACCTGACAATTTTTTGAGGCTCTATGACTTATGGCTTATCGTTGTTTTGACCTGTTTCGAGGTTGGAAATTAGTCCCTAGTGGATTGCTAATTATTAATCCGAAGCCACATCTAAGGTTAGCCGGTCAGATTATCTATTGACTGGTCATTTCGTTGTTTTGATTGTTCTAAACCCCTAGAGACTAATTTTAAACCGTAACATTTGAAACACTTTACCGTTTGTTGGTCGATGAAAATAAAGGAAAAGATGACCTGGAATAATTTCATCGTTTTCGTCGATCAAGATCGATCTGAATAATGATCATGATGAAAGGAGAGAGAGAGAAGAGAGAGTGAGTGAGTATAGGTTGAGAAATGATGGATCTATACAAAGTCTTATTCTTTTTTCACTCAAATTTTTCTTCTTCTTCTTCATCAAACTGATACCTGATTTTCTCTTTTTTTCTACTATAATCATATTCATCATTCTCATTATCATCATCATCTTTTTTTCCAACTCACTCTTGTTCACATTTTCTTTTTCTCTCTGACTCTGGCTTCCTCTCTCTCTCTCTCCATCTATTTCTTCAGGTACTAATACATGAGAATAAGAGCTGATGATGAGAATAAGAATGATGGTAGCGAAAGAAAAAGCGAGAGAGAAAGAATCAGGTATCATTTGATTCTAGCGTAAGTAAAAGATAATCATTAAATTGAGAAGAATAAAAAATATTGATGCAACAAAAAATTCTGGTTATTTGGTTGAGAGAAAGAGAAAGAGAAAGAAAGAGAGAGATGATGATGGTGATGATGAACCAGAAGATGAGAAGACAAGAGAAGAAAAAGAGAGAGTACGAAATTTTTGCAAACATATAATCTTGCATCTTTTTCCGAGCAAAAAATTAGAGAGAGAGAGAGAGAGAGAGAGAGAGAGAGATGAGAGTATAATGGAAAAGAAAGAGAGAGAGAGAGAGAGCTCAAAATTTTCGCTTCCACAGCATACATATAATCTTGGATCTTTTTTGCAAGAGAGGAAGATGAGAGAGAGAGAGAGAGAGGGAGAGGGAGAGATGATAATGAAAAAAGAGGCAAGGCAATCGTGAAGAGAATGAAAGATGAAAAGAGAGCAACTTTTATTTTCTCTTTTCTCCAACCAATAGTGAAACAATTTATCAATGGACGAAAAATTTATTGACTAAAAAAGAAAAAAAAGTTACCCAAAAATTGCGAAAATCGTTAATTATCGTTAGGGTCAAGTGTCCATTCTTAACTCTCGTTAAAACCTCTCACTTTCTCGTCACTCAATTAAAATGACTAAACTCAATTGCGAACAATTAACTTATCAGTTTACAAATGAGTCTAATGTTTTATTGCCTTTTCGAAGTCTCTTGTTATTAGAAGGGAACAAAAGTTATCGAATTGACAGTAAAACTTTTTACTCTTTTTCTCTTTTCTCGAATAACCAAAACACCGAAAAAGAATAGAGAGAGAGAGAAAAAAAAGAGAAAAGAGAAAATGAATTCTCTCAATATCTTAATTAATTCAATTGTGATATTAGAATAAAGAAAATTACATGATAAAAATTTTCTTCTTTTTCATTTTAATTTATATGTTTACCTCTTTGAACTCCTTTCGCCTCTTTCATCTCTGTCTACTTTTCTCTTTCATTTGTTTCTTCCTTTCTGGTTGGCTTATTTTCCGTCACATGTTAGCCGAAAGAGGCTGCGCAATGATGTAACCTTGTCTTTCTTTTAAATAGAAAGAGAAAAAGAAAGAGAAAAAACACAAGAAAAAGCAAAAAGAAAGACGAAAGAGAGACTCTCTTAATGGGTGGAGTTAATGGCTGGTAGAGTGTGGATAATGTGAGTAGTGTGTGTGTGTGTATGTTGATGAGAGAGAAGTAAAATGTTATGATGATAAAGGGAGAGTAGAGAGAGAGATTTGTGAAGATAGAGAGAGAGAGAAAAGAGGGAGAGAGAGAGAGTAACTTTTTTTCGAAAAAATTATTTTCTTTACCAACCAATTGAGAGCAATATTAATGACCATGAGTTCATTTTTGATGAATTGTAACCCAGCGGCTTATACCACTGCTGCCGATGTGGCCGCCGCTGCGAGTGGATATTCAAATTATTATGATGCTCCGATCGGATCCACCGTAGGAACCTCAAGCGTTCATGGAGGTGGTACTGGCGGTGGCAGTTCTAGTGCTAATATTAGTTATCCAACTAACAGTGTTATCGGAATCCATGGTTCATCAAATGATAATAATAATGGTAATCTAACCGACGATCAATTTGATCAATTAACTGATTCTCATCATCCTCATCATTCGCATCTTCCTCTTCATCATCCTGCTCATCATTCACATCACTCATCTCATCATCACCAAACTTCACCAATTCCTGGGTATCCATTTGACCCTTCTAATCACAATGTATCTCATCATCCTCATCATTCATCTCATCAACATTCCTTTGGTTTAACTCCTCATCCTCATCATCAACCTTATTATGGATCCCAAGGTGTTCCAATGGGTGCTAATGTTGCATCATCGGTGGCACCATCACCTGTTGGTAGCCATCCGGGAATAATTAATCATCCTCATCATCCATCAGTTAATCAATCTGATCTCTTTGCCCATCACAACTTTAACCATCATCACAACAGTTACCCTTCACCTTCACCAGGATTTTTAAAAAGATCACCTTCACCTTCATCCTCATCTCAACATCAACACCAACAACAACCATCACAACTTCAACCTCAACAACAATTAGATTCAAAAAGTAATTTAATAGACTGTAAATCTATTAATAGTGATCCACCTTCTCCACCGGACTGTGCAATCTCAGCCAACAGTGAAACCAATTCAGAGACTTCGGGATCAGGTCAACCTGTAATCTATCCTTGGATGAAAAAAGCGCATATCAATCAAGGTAAAGGTGAGTTTTTACTCTTATTTCCCCGCATCTTTCTCTCTCTCTCTCTCTCAACTCGAATATTCCTTTTCTCTGAGTACATTGAACATTCTGTGTCCCAGGTTATATATATTTAGATCATTAACAGAAAGTTAACATGATCATTTTTCTTCTCTTTCTTCCTTCCTTCTTCTCGACTTTATCATCATCATCATCATCGAATCATCTCCATCTTCTCCTTCTTCTTCTTCTCCTCCTTCATCTTCATCTTCTTCTTCTTCTTCTTCCTTGCTCAAATAATCTAAATCATTCTAATCATCGAAATGAAAATAACATTGATAAATAATGTTCGCGTTACTATCATTACACTTCGAATACGAATAATTATTGCTAACGAAATCGCTAACGAACCTTAGATATTGCGAAGGATAATTTATTTTGTAATGTTCAAAATGGAACCAATGTAACTGGGTTGGAATCTAAAAGACAGCGAACAGCTTATACTCGTCACCAGATATTAGAACTGGAGAAAGAATTTCATTATAATCGTTATTTAACTCGTCGTCGTCGAATTGAAATTGCTCATTCACTATTACTCAGTGAGAGACAGATAAAGATCTGGTTTCAGAATCGACGGATGAAGTGGAAAAAAGACAATAAACTGCCCAATACAAAAAATGTGAAGAAAAAAAGTCAAACAAACAACAACAACTCCAACAACACCAACAATTCAACAAACAATACAAACTCTACCACTAATAACATCAACAACAACTCCAACATCAACATCAACAACAGCAATAATACCAATGATTCACTAAATAACAAAATCTAGCATAATATATAATATAAATTATAACATAACGAAAAAAAAAACACTCAAAAAAAAGACACAATATTAAAACACTTACATATAAATACACAAATTCCCAATTTCTCAACGTTTATTGATATTCTTGATCATCTTAACCTCCCTGTCTCTCTCTCTCTTTTAATTGTCATTTTTTGAGTGATGAAGATCAATTGCCATCAATAACAATTGAACAACAAACAACTTGTAGTAATAAAATAAATTAACTCATTTCACCTCATTAATTATTACTGTTAATTGTGTGTGTTTTACTCTGAGTGAGTGTGTGTTGATATGTTAATTGTTTGTATCATGGATCCAGTTATTCATCTTCAATCAATTTATTCAATCAATGGATGGTTTTAATTAGCTGTTAACAAATGATTTGTAATCTTTTCATTATCAATGACCGATTATCTTAATCGTTAATCTCAATTGTGTGTTCTCGTGATGATAATTGTTACAATTTATATTTTTCTCTTTTTATTTTTCTCTCGTTCAAATTTCCATCACTTCTTAAATTACCCTGAACTTTTCATGATCTATTCAATTCTCTCTCTCTCTCTCACTCATGTTTTGTGGTGGGGGGAACATGGTGATCGGATGTTGTTGTTGTTGTTTTTGATGGTGGGAAGAGAGAGATGAGTTCACCCGGTGAGCTTAATCTTGATCCCACTTCGATCTTGAATTAACTCTGATTCTCAATCATGTTTATTGATTTTCTATTAATCTTTTTCTCCCCTTTTCCCTTGATAATCAGATTGGATTAAATTTCAAGTATTTCTATTTAATTTGTTAAACAGAGAGAGAGAGAAAGAAAAACTTTAATCTCAACTTGATAACTGTTGAAATTAACAAGATGATTAAATGTAATGTCACATTGGGTTAATTGTGAGAAAGACAATTAACTTTAATTTATAATTTCCACTCTTTTCCATTCATCTTATTACCAAATGCAACTCTTGAAATCAATAACTAATTAAATAATCTGTAATTGTAGTAAACAATTAGGACCAATTTAATTTAATTTAATTTTCTAACCTTTTGTGACAAAGATTATAAAGCCAAACCTAATGATGGTTAGTTAATTGTTACCCATTAACTTTCCTTGAATGAGAAAATTATTATTTCCAAAGACCAAAATTTGATCAATTCTCTGTTTTCATTAATACAATTAGAATCATGTTCACTTTAACAACAATCTATTATCTTAAACAGTTAATTTCTTGTCAGATTAATCAGCAGATTATGATTTGTTTATGTTCATCTTTACCTTGATCGCTGATGAGTTTCATTTCCATTGGTTTTACCTGGAAACCCTCATGATCCTCACCATGATCATCAATTATTTCATTGATCTGAACTTTTTTTCTTCACTGATTCTGTTAACGATATTGATGATAGTGTGTTCATCTAGAACATAGGTAAACCTCTGTTATAGGCACACCTTTGATCAACAAACAAAAGGGAAAAGTTTCTATGAGTCTATGAGAAGTTGATGATGATGATAATGATGGTGGCGAGAGAGAGAGATGATGATGAAGAGAAACCTAACCAAACCCAGATCCTATACCTTGACATGGTTGACGGCCTTTTCTCTCACAACATTATGCTCTCTTCTCCCTCCATCACCATCTCTCTCATTCTCTCTCTCTCTCTTATTCTATGTTTGCGCTCTTTCAACGTTCATTTTGACTCTTCGTGAATTTTGCTCACTATTTTTTTCCTCCTCTTTCATTTTCTTCGGCCTTGAGAGTTTTACCTCGTTTTTTCTGTTCGATTCTCTTTTTTTGGTAATATAAGAAGAGAGAGAGAGAGAGAAAAACTGTACCATTAATACAATTATCAAGCAACTTATCATTTGATACCAGATATTAAGCTACTTTGGCTTTTTTGTGTTGACCCTTAGCCCCTCAGCTGACTCTTTATACTGAGGCTGAGGGAGAGTCGATACAAAAGTTTGGGTTACTTGTGTTACCAATATAAATAATGATGCGATGGTGAGAAGACCAAATTTAATTGAAAACTTCCGTTAGACCATTAATACTCATTTGTTGGATTCGATGTGTACAATGTTGTGTATCGCTGTGGGTCCTTTTCTGTGTCACCGTCACAATAGGCACTCGCTAATTCAATTGTCAAAGTTGATTATTGTTGATATAAAACAATTTTCTCCTCCTTAATTCAAGTTAATTTGTTTCCCTAGGTACATTTGTACTTCAATAACTTGAATAAATTCATTGAAATTGAACATATTCAAGATAATTGTTTATTATTAGATCCGGAAATTATCATCATTATTATAATCACTATCATCATCTTAATGATTATCTTGTATTGTTTCATATGATTATCATGACTCAATAGACAACAATATCAACCAGGAAAGATAAACAAAAAAACTATAATGTAAAAGGTTATCACTGATGAGATAATGTCTGAATAGTTCATTTGGAAATGAGGAGAGAGAGAGATGAAAAAGAAATGATAATCAAGGGAGAGAGAATTTATCTTCCTTAAATAGAGGAAGACGATTCCAGACAAATGATCAAAGTGTCAATATGAACGAAGGCGTTTTCAATTAGGTCATTGTATCGACACCTTAACAAGTTTTCAGATTAATTGAAATTCTGAATTGTCTCAATTTCGTTTCATGATCATCATGTGCTTTTCCTCAGCTGAATCTTCATTGATTGTCTCATTCAATGTTGACCAGTTGATCAGAGAAATTGTAATCAACCAATGAGTGGAAATTTATTATTATCATGATATTCTGAGTTCATCATTTCAGAGACAGAGAGAGATACTCAGTAAATATAATATGAAAGTGACTTCATCTTTAGTGAAAGTGTGATAATGACTTTGGGTGTGGTTAATACACCTCGTTTTCAGTGTTTCATTTACTGTTTCAGTGCTTAATCATTATCGTCAATATCCTTGATATGAAAATATGGACAAAGTTATCATTAATATTATCGTTTCCAATTGATTTTCTCAATACAATTTTTTGAATAGTAAATTTTACTAATTGAGACATAGAATGCTGTTCTTAGGTGAGAAAATGTTTGATTGATTCTCAGGATATAAGCAATGATACCGGCGATTATCAATCCATCTCACTTTCTATCCTTTAGGTTAACATAATCGCTGATTGATTCACGACCAATTGGATAGAGTGGATTAGCTGGATAAAGAGATTTGTTTATACATAAATAGGACATTTTCAGATGGGCTCTTCTTTTCACCATTCAACTATATTAGTTGATTCATTTCGAGCTTGAAGAGAAAATCAATTTGTACATTTGACAGGAGAACATTTTAAATATCGATAATGTCTTTTTCCTATCGATAAGTTTCTATACTTTAATTGTGGAATCGATAATAATCATTTTAGATGAACAAAATTGATTGTTTACGATTCGAGGTAAGCTAATCTTGTGTTCCTAGTTTTATAACACGAAATGTTGTGAATATTTTGTGGTTTCCAATCAATCATCAATTGAGCTATTTAGGAACCTTAAATGTCACCAAGTTAATGTGAAAAATTTGATTCTAAAATGAGGAAGAAGAGGAGAAAAAAAATAGAAACTTTTTTAAGTTCTGTAAGGTAAGCTGAAGATGCGATTGAGAGGAAAACTGAAAGAATTAGAATATCATTTGATATAATCTTGAGAAATGTTGGTAGAGAACCAAAATTTAAACATTTCTATTCTGTTTGATGAAAAGTCAATTTCGAAATCCCCCTGAAAGCCTGAATTTAAATCTACGCTTGACTTTTCTACGCTCCGATAATTATACCTTGAAATGGTTTCTTTTATTTTCTGGTGTCTCCATTTTCAAGCAAGAAGAAAAAAGTATAATCAAAATATAAAAAGGCTCTAATGGTAGGAAGAAGAGGTGGGAGGTTAGAGAGATAGAGTGAGAGAGGCAAAGACCCGAGTGATGCATGTATACATATTCAAGGAGAAAGAGAGAGAGAGAGAGAGAGAGAGAGAGAGAGCTCAGTTGTCATGCAGAGAGTTGAATTAAAACAGGAATACAAAACATCCTGGGTTAGGTTATGTTACGCATTTGAAACCAGGATACTACCTTGGAAACAGCGTCGCTTTTGTTGCCTGTGAGCACGAAACTTTACCCTGAGGGAGGTTTGTTAACATGAATAGACCAGAGTGCAAATGAATTGTCAGAATAAAGTTCAGGGGAAATTTGGAAAAATTTGAAAATTCGTAACTCTTAATGACCATGTTGATGTTTCAGATTGAATTTCATTTGAAAATCTTTTCCTTCAAACTCACATTGATTGTTTAAGATATTAAATCATTTCTGTTTATTTATTTTTCTTTTGTTTATTTAAACATTTCTCGTCAACAATTAACTTAATTAACTTAACTCTCTCCTATTAATTAATTAGTATTTAGTAATGTTGACAATTGAACACTGATTGTTTAATGTTATTTGATAATTTGTCAGATTAATTATCTTTACACTTTAACATGTGAAAACTTGTAAATCTTTCATAATTTTACTGACTAATTAGTTAAATTATTGATTTTTATCATCATGGTTAAGATAATTATTAATATTATCCTTGAGTGTAACAAAATCACTACAAGCATTTCATCAGAATTCATAAGAATCAAATTTTCTCAATCGGGGATTAATCATTATCGATTGAGCGATAACGATTAACGATTCTAAGGTCACTTTTCGGTCCGTCCAATAAACGTGAAACTTATCATCAAGATGAAAGTGATTAAAGTGATTAGAGAATTAAAATTAATGACTAATGTATTTGATTTATATACAAGATTATACATGTTAGGTTACGGAAGATTAATCAATCGACGGGAAAATTAATGGCCTAAGAATCCGTTCTTATAGACTCGTGGCATAGATATTAATATATCATCTTGAAAATACAAAATCAACATAGGAATCTATGGGAATGTGATAACATTTAATTGATGGAAACAGGTAAAAACCTTGAACTGGATTAGTTAATGATTTTGAGTCAATTATGAAATAACAATGAATTGTTTCACATGAATGAAAAACTTGAACGTTTTTTTTTTGATCAATTAGTTGATTGTCAATTCTAATCACTGTAAATCTTTTGCACCTCATCAATTTAAACATGATACAAGTCTCGCAATTTTAACACCTCATTAACAATATTATGAATACCAATGGGTGATAATGTTATTACATAAACTGTCGGTGATAATAACTCTTGGAATTATTAATCACCTTATACACCAGTTAATCATCTCAATCCTTTTTCTATGTTAATCACCGTAAATCACAATAAATTAACAACAATTGAAGATGATCCGCCATCCCAACAGGAGATTTAACCGGTTATCCACCTGGAGATGACCAAAATGACCAATGGTGACCCAAAGAAAAGTCAAACGAGCAAAAAAAAGGAAAGGTAAGTAAACCTTTTTTTGTTCATTCTCGAACTACAAACCCAATGAAATTTAGATTTATAAATGTAACTCGAAACTTTGTACAAACAATTAACTGATTCAATGATTCCAATGGAAATTGATTTATCATCTGTTGATAATGATGAACAATTAACAGCAGATTAATTGCAATTAATATTTTTATCATTCTCTCTCCTTTATTAGTACAACTGTTTTCAACAATTGAAACTCTAATCAACATCTCTGATCAACTATATTATCCAATGTTACCAAACAATTGACTGATCATCAGACTTAACAATTAAGCTAATCAATCAGATGATCACCTTGATAATCAACTAATAACTTGTGAGAAAATAGACTCATCTGCTTATGGATAATCAAAGAGACGAAAATATCAATTAAACCAATTCGAATTTTTTTTTCTCCAAATTCTAAAATAATCAATCATCATCATTTCGACGTGTTACCTGTCACACTATTCATCCTGATTCCAAGCATTCGGAGCAGAAACTTTTCTATCTTCACCCTGAAAGTTAATTTCTCTCTCTCTCTCTCTCTCTCTCTCTCTCATCATCATCATCATCTCATCTTCAATGGATTAAATTGCTGTTTGATTCCTAATTCCTAATCAATTGGTTACCAGCGATTATAATTATTGATGAAGTGAAAAATTTACTATTCTCACAAACTTATTTTCGCGGTTGAATATTTCTTACCTTCTCTCTCTTTTCATCATCATCATCATCATCATCATTAGTATTTTCTCTTTCTTTTTACCTTTTCCTCTTTTCCTCTTCTCTTCTTCTCTCTCACTAATGACTTGCAAACTAAAGCCATTAAATAAACATCTCTAATGAGCATCTTTCCTTACACAGTGTAACTACCTGGATAAAAAGTTTTCCTTAAATAAAAAATTATTAACTCTCAATGTAATTATTATGATAATTTTTTTCTTCTTCTTCAATCTCTGTGTTTGTTTACCCAGGGAAACCTGAATCTCCGTGCAAAATCATGATACTTATCATACCAATGAAATTATTCATCAGATTCTCAGTCAATGAGCAACAATAAAGTTCTGGGTTAAAAGAGAATCACTTTTTCCTTCATTAAAGTTTGAAAATTTTGTTTTCTTTTCAATCAGATAAAATATAAATATAAAAAAATGAACGATGGTGATGAAGATGATGAAGATTAAGAGGAGGTTCAATCTCCCTCCCTTTCGAAGGGTGGAAATGGGACAAAGTCACTTACAGAACACTCTGTAGGCTGTTGGGTGGTGTTTGGATGTTGGTGTTGGCTTAATTTGGTTTCAGCTTTTCGTCAGATTACCTTATCTTTGTAGCCCAGTTATAGCTCACAGAGGATGATGAAAAAAAGAGAAGAAGATGAAAGATGATGTGTGTGTGAGAGAGAGAGGGAGGGAGAGTGGAAAGGGAATTATGAGAGCGGGTTGAATAGTAGAAAATGTATCACGAAAACGGATCCACCTTTTCTTACTTTCTTATAATTGTCCCTTTCACTTTTTTACTCTCATCCACTAATCTCTTTCCTTAATCAGTTTCATCCTCATCTTCATCTCATGTAACAAAGTTACTTGCATATTCTGTTTTATTTTAGCTTCATCCTCTCTTCGCATCCATTGCAATGGGACATTGTCAAAGTAAATACATTGTTCATTTTATTTATACTTCTACATCATCAGCATCATCTTTCCAGCTTAATCCGTAATCACTATGATCCACTCGAGGGATTCCTTTGAGATTTATCATTTATTTTTCTTCTCTTCATCATCTTCACATTAAAAACCAATTTGATAAAAAAGTAAGATGATCAATCGACCTACACCGACTAGAAACATTTCAAATCTCTCCGATATTATTAATAGAACTTGAATTAATAACTATAGACTAAGATCTCTCTCTATCTCTCTCTCTTTCTCTTGATCGTTTTTAGTATTTCCTTTTCTTCTTCTTCATTTTATCATCTTCATCTTCATCCTCATCATCGTCTTCTTGTTATAATCTTTGCTTGATGATAAGGTATCTCTCCTTCCTATAATATAAAAGTCTCCTGCAGAATAAGCTACAACTGCTGCTGGCGCAACTTCTCAGGGTGAGGATGGAAAAAAATGAAACAGTGAAGAAAATGAGAAAGATGATGAAGACTGACTTAATATTGATTATGATGGATGAGTATTATGTAAATATTATATAGAAAATTATAATGTCTTTGTTAGGTTGAGACTTTTTCATCATCTCCATCTTTTACTGTAACTTTAAAGCCTTAAGAGAAAGAGAGAGAGAGAAAGGGAAAGGAAAAGAAGCCATGATAGGTCAGATGAAGAAGATGAAGAAGATGAAGAAGATGATGATGATGCAGAGGAAGAATAAGGATATAAGGAATGATGATGAAGAAATGGAAGATGCAGAAAAAAAGAAACCTGAGAATATAACTACCTACCTACAGAGTTAGAACTGGACAATTGGAGTAAAATAATAATAGAGAATGTGAATAAGTGAGAATCGACTATTATTATGTTTAAGAAACTGTAGGATGATGTTGATGCTAATGATGAAGATGATGAAGATGATGATAGGCATAAGCTGACTGATGGAAACTTTTTTTTCTTCATCTTTCATTACGATAAAAGTTTCGAGTGAAAAAAAAAGATCAACCAATTGGAAATGGTGTTTGTATTTACACTTAGATATTAATACTATGTTTATATCTTTGAACAGGTAAGAAAAACCTATGGAAAAAACATCCAAGTCCATGATATGGGGGAGGAAGTGGCTGTTGATACCTTTCATTTTCCAGCTTCATCATTATCATCACCATTGTTATTATTATCATTTAATCAAATAACGTCTGCTCTCCCTCCCTCTCTCTCTATCGCTCTATCCACTGGCGATGATGATGTCGAAATAACCAAGGGCTTATATTATTTTCCTCTCTTTCTCTCGCTTTCTTTGTGTGTCTCTTTTTCCACTCACGGTTTGCTATCATTCTCATTCAACCGAGAGATGTACTTTCTCTCTCTCTCTCTCAATCTCTTTTCTATCTTCTACTCCTCCTTCTGACTCTCTTTCTCTCTCCTTCTGGTTACTATCTCACTGTCCAATGTTGGCTCGAAATCGCCGCTCTCCCTCTTCCTCTTTGGTCCGTCGTTAGTCGTTAGCTTTTATCTTTATCATAATTAACCCAAATTAAGCCCATTGCCTTTTAATGCTCTTTCAGTTAATGTGCCACATTCCCGCTAATAATGAACTCTCTCCGTCCGTTTAGGTTAATCAAAAGAGGAGAAGAGCAACAAAAGTGGCTTGAGAATCTTCAAACTATTGTGATCGCTTTAAAAGTGATCATAATGAACTTATTGTCTTTCAATTGAATTCAGTTGAATTTTCAACAGAAAAATAGAAAATAAAACAAGGTCAGTATGTAGTTCACAAGGAACAAGAGTTATTCATCTTTCTGTCTCTCTCTCTCTCTAAATATACAGGGTTGGGCAGAATTGTAATAAATCAAAAATGAATAGAATTTGAGAACTATTTCTTTCATGAAATGACAGTTCGAGTTTTCTTGGAAATAGTCATGAGAAATGTTCACTAATTTGGAAACTCATCGATGATTTAATATTCTTTTTTTTTGCTTCGAAGAAAATAAAAAAAAAGATGTGCAACTTGTGGAGGAAAAGTTTCAACATTGAATTTTGATTCTCTCGAAATTGTTTTTTATTCTTCACGTTGGTGAAGTTCGAAGCAAATCGAAAATGGCAAAATAAACCTTCCCACTCCTGTATATTAACTGTTTCTCATTGAGTTTATCGTGTTCCTTGAGTGAGTAATAGAGAAAAAGAAAGTTACAACAGCTGAAAATGATGAGTATGAAGATTAGAATGATGATGTAATGATGATAATAGAAAATATAGGTTGCGATATTGACAGTTTTTGATGCTGACGAATGAAAATGAAGAGAAAAGAACATTTGTCTAAAGATTATTCTTTGACCAACTTGGAAGTTAGATGTTATCAAATGCAAAGAAAGAAGATGAGGAAGAAGAAAAAAAGTCGAAGGAGAGAAAAAGAGATAGAAAATGAAAGAATAAAGAAAGAAGAAGATGAGAAAAAGCATGAGAATGCTGATACTGGTGAAGAAGAAGAAGAAGATGATGATGATGATGATGATGAAGATGAAGATGATGAAGATAGTGAGGACAAGATAAGAAAGGGAAAGAAAGTGAAAGCTGATTGTTAGAGCTGACAAGAGATGACATGTAAGAATAGAGAAAGGGAGATACAAGGGGAGTGGGTGGTTGGTGAAGAAGAAGGAGAGATGATGATGATGATGCTAAGTGGCGGATGAGGATGATGATGGTGGAATGAGCAAGAAAAGTTCATGAGAATAATGGTGAAAATTCTTTGGTAAAAGTGAAAGTACCATGGATGGTTTTCTTCTTCTTCTTCTTCTTCTTATATTTGTGTGACTAGAAAATGATGAGAGATGAAGATTCAGAATGATGAATGGAGTTCGGAAAGAAGAAGCGGATAAGTATTGGGATGGAAATAAAAAAAATAGAAAAGAAAAGAAAGAAAAAAAAAGAATAAGAACATTTTCCATATCAAGAAATATTCCACTTACAGTGGGAACCAAATGCGTGTGTATATCATTTCGAGGAATATGAACACAAGTATAATCTTCAGTTGAAATCTTCATCATCCTCATGATCTTCATGATGATCATCACCAATATCGAGAAAGAAGACGAAGAAAATAATACATAATAAGAATAAGAATAAGATGATAATTTACATCCAGAAAAGAAAAAGATTCATCATTTATAGTTTTCCATTCTATTTCCGGTCAATATATTTGTCTTTCTCTTCTTCATCATCATTTAATCATCTTTTTCTCGGCAATGTCACTTTATCATTCTCATCAAGAGATACTATTATTATTATTTATCTTCTCAATCATTTCAAGCTCTTTTTTTTATCATCCTCATCATAACCTTGAACTAATTATGTAACAATAATGATGATGATAGTAAACATTAGTTAATTTGGTAATGATTTTGACCTTAATCTACATCGTAATTAACATTAGACTCTGTTAAATACTCAGAAAATGATTAACCTGATAACTTTATTTCCATCACTCATCAAACATGTTTAATAATCATTATCATGTTGATCAATATCAATCCATCAATAATTGTTTGAGTTGAATGAAAACTTTTTTTTTCAGCTCCACAATTAATGAATCAACAGAGGTGATGATGAAAATTGATTAATAACCGATAATAAACTGATAACATTCAATCAATTTTATATCATTAACTTTTTCTTAGAGTTTGGCTCAAAGTGAATGGACTTTAGTTACGATTTATGTTCAAATGTGATCTGATTTGATTGAGGATCTTCAAAGTGGATTGTCTTGTTTACAAGTTAATTATTTACTTTGTTAGTTGTTGGTTAAATTAATCCCGATTTGATTTATGTTAAGTAACGGATTCGATAACTAATCCTTTTTGTTTACTCGTTTTGGTCAAACTTTTCTTTCGAATCCTTTTAATTGCTGTTAATTGTTTACACTTCGGTGATTGTGTTAATTTTTACTAATTGGAAACATCTCGTGACTTAGAAAATTGTGATAATATAATTGTTGCTTGATCTTTTTGAGATTGGAAAGATTTTATATGTTTAGCGAGCGATTTTTTGACAAAGTGTCTGATCGGTGAACTTGGAATTGACTATCGAAGAGCAGAGTTCGATCATCTGAAATTGAAGTGGCAGCTTTGGTTCTCGAAAAGGTAAGTAAAGGAGAAACTTTTTCTCCATTTAAATATATTAATAAATAGAATCATCTGAATGATCAGAATTATCTTCATGATAATGAGAGAAAGTGAGAGAGGAAGAGTGAGAGAGAAACAAGAACAAGAAGAGTAATGATGATCATCATATAGTCTTCATGTAATCATCCAGCCACGAAATCGGGTTTGCCCAACAAATGGTCCAA